CAGTGATCCGTACTGTGGTAGTTCACCATGGTCATCAAAAAAGAGGTAGAAACAACCTCTGGCAGGTAGGCCAACCCCACGGAAACCTTCCCTGATCATTTGCCCAACTTGTTCCAGCAGTCCTTGCTGACTTTTTCCAGTTGACCCACATCTTACTTGAAGTCTCAAAAGTGGACCTGGTACACTAGCTGAGGCAGCACTATTTTGAGAACAATGAAAGGATTATTTCAGATGGCCTATATCCAAAACTTCTACTTAGACACCTCCCCCTCGATGTTTATTTTGTGATCCACTGTAACCTCAGTCTCCGTTTTACAGAATTGCTGCACAGCCAGAAACTACTGCAACTGTGTAGTAGGTTTTTGTTACTTAAGTACTCCTACCTATTTGCCCCAATTGAATTTGCTCCTCTTTCAGGTATTTCTTTCTAATTTGTAAAAATAATGTCGAGTTTTCATCCCATCTTTGGAAGTGACTAAACTATCTCCAGTTGATATAATCTGCTAATTTAATAACCATCTTTTATGTATTGCGTTATCAATGGAAATGACTGAATAATACCCAAAGCCAGACAGGTCCCTATGGAACATCAGTTGCTGTATTTTTCCAGCTTAATGATGAAAGACCAGTAGCATTTTTCTGAACAGTCTAATCAGTTTTGTAGCATTTCATAACACTTCAAATGAAGCCGTTTTCTCCTGCTTTGCTTTTAAAATGTCATGTTAAAGAAGCTCTTTCTCTCTTTTATCCTGAAGCTTATGATACTGATTTTCAAGAAAATTGTTTCAAAAGTGTGTAGTATTAGCAAATTTTTATTGGTAGATGTAAACCTAGGTCTAGATTCATATTTTTTTATTGACTATTTAATTCAATGATTATCCCTCTTATGTGAAGCCTGAAGGAAAAAGACATTGAGCATTTCAGTTTTCCCTAGATTCACTATTTGCTCATTCTTTTGTTAAATAACGGACTCAACTTTCCGTCCCTTTCTAGAATCATAGAACGGTTTAGGTTGGAAGAGACCTTAAAGATCATCGAGTTCCAACCCTCCTGCCATGGGCAGGGACACCTCCCACTAGACCAGGTTGCTCAAAGCCCCATCCAGCCTGGCCTTGAACACCTCCAGGGATGGGGCCTCCACAACTTCTCTGGGCAATGTGTTCCAGCGTCTCATCACTCTCATAGTGAAAAATTTCTTCCTAATAGCTACTCTAAATCTCACCTCTTCCAGTTTGAAGCTGTTACTGCTTGTCCTATCACTACATGTCCTTGTAAAAAGTCCCTCTCCAGCCTTCTTTTATGCCCCCTTCAGGTACTGGAAGGCTGCTATAAGGTCTCCCTGGAGCCTTCTCTTCTCCAGGCTGAACAACCCCAACTCTCTCAGCCTGTTCTCATAGGAGAGGTGCTCCAGCCCTCTGATCATCTTTGTAGCCCTCTTCTGGACCCACTCCAAGAGGTCCACGTCCTTCTTATGTTGAGGGCTCCAGAACTGTATGCAATATTCCAAGTGGGGTCTCACCAGAGCAGAGTAGAGACAGAATCACCTCCTTTGACCTGCTGGCCACGCTGCTTTTCATGCAGCCCAGGATAGGGTTGGCCTTCTGGGCTGTGACCGCACATTGCTGGCTCATGTTGAGTTTGTCCAACACCCCCAAGTCCTTCTCCTCAGGGCTGCTCTAAATCCATTCTCCACCCAGCCTCTATTAGTGCTTGGGATTGCCCCAGCCCATGAGTAGGACCTTGCACTTGGCCTTGTTAAACTTCATGAGGTTGGCATAGGCCCACCTCTCCAGCCTGTGCAGGTCCCTCTGGATGGCATCCCCTCCCTCCACCATGTCGATTGCTCCACACAGTTTGGTGGTGTCAGCAAACTTGCTCCATCCCAACATCCATGTCACCAACCCATACCCCGGTATCAGTTTTACTAGGTTTTAGCAGTCATAATTTATGTTGTTTTTTCTGTCCTTTTTCACACATATCCATGCTCTGTTTTACATTTATCCATAATGACATATTCTCCCTTTCCATTCTTGTTGATTTTTCTGTTTAAAGAACTTCTGAGACAGTCATAATAGCCTCTTACTATGCTCCCTGTTTTCCCACTGCATTGGCATAATTTGTCACTATGATTGTTTCTGCAATTTTATAAAGTATTCTGGAGTGAATTTCATCTCTCCCTACTTAGGTGAAAATTTCCAGCTTTTCAAAATGCATCTTTTCAGAGAATTTCTACTCTCCTGAACTCTGTTCCTCTCCTTCGGATACCTCCCTGGTGTAACACACGTAAACATTTTTTTTTGTATGGAAGTGAGCTGATTTGAAGTCCACATAAATTCTATTGTGTAAGTTGCCATCTTTGCCTAAAAATACAAAATTCTATTTTGTAACTAAGATCAAACCATTTTCTTCTTCCAGATTAGCAAACAATTCCTGACTAGTCAGAATCAAACCTAAAATAGTCACTCTCAAATTACACCCTCCATGAGATGAGTCCTCTCTCATTTGTAGGAACATTTGTACAGTTTGCCCCCGTTATAGCATTTTCTGCAGGTATTAGAAAGAAAACATCTGTTCCAAGATGGGATACCAAAGGAAGAAAGCTTTCATCATGGCCAACAGTGTTCCTTTCAGGGCAACTCATTTGTCACCTAACTTGTCACGTTTTACCTTTCTTAAGCATACTCTCTGCTACTCTTCAGTCAGAAAATTAACAAGTTTTGGTAGCAGCTAGAGTTTCTTGGGAAGGAATATGAGTTTTGTGTGCCATTATTCTTAAGAATAAAGCCAGAAGTAAAAATGGCTGCATAGGATATTTTGGAGAAATTCAAGTTGTGACCATTAACAGTCATTTCTAATACTGGAATGACTGAGGCTACTATGGGAGTCTCCATAATGATTCTCATACACATTAGAGAATCAAGATGTAAAACATATAGGAAATGTCACAAGTCTGGAAAAAGTCTCCTTTTCCCACTAGAATACTGAGTACCACCTATCACATCTACTTCTTTCCATTAAATATGTTAGATTTAGAATCCAATACCAAACAGAAGAAGAAACAGCAGCGCAGAACAGAACAGCCTGGTACGTAGGCTGGATAGAAAAAATAATTTTGATTAAGTAATACCTATCTTTAAAAGTTCCTTCACTTGTTAAATGAATTGTTAAATTAGTTTTGAAATGGATCTTTGGATTAATAAAAGGTGCTGGTTAAATGAGAGCTAATAAATTACTCTAAACTGGATAAAAGAAGTTTGCAGTTTTGGTCTTAGAATGTAAATCTGTTAAATACATGGGCCACTGGGAACCAATACAAATGTCAGCATAAAGATTTGTCTAACCAAATGAAACAACAGAAATATAATATTAATTCAGTTATTTCTAAAGTGCCAACACTGTAAGCAAGAAAAATAAATGCAGAAGATGGAAGAACACCACTACCATTCAGCAGATTTAGACTTATTCTTTATGATGCACTTTCATCAAAATTTGTAGTTGCCAGGTATCAAATTTCATTCATGCAACATCAATCCACTAAGAAATACATATTTTGGTGAGAAAATTAAAGTCCATATTTATGTAAAAACCATTTTGAAATAAAAATAAAACAAGATTTATTTTTACAAAAAAAATATTATTTTTTTTTTTACTAACAGAATAATTATCTGGAAAAAGTAATTTCCCACATGAGATAGTTAAAGGAAGTTAAATATATTTAAAAATGGAAGATTCTGCATTTACATAGGTATATGCCATTAATATTGAAGATATGCTTTCTGGCAAAAAACTTTTCATGCTTAAAAAACGCACCTTAGTTTTATACTGTACATTACAACATACAGTAGTAAGAAACAGAAGTAGTAAACAGGTTATATGCAAAGAAAAGAAGTTACATTACAAGACAGTTACAACTGTGACACAAAAAAATATGTTCAGTTTTAACAGTATTTGAAGGCAATTCACAATCATTTCAAGAGTTTTGTGAAATTTAAGGCCATTAGTTCTAAATAAAATGTATCTGACACAAACTCACAAAACTGTGTATTTTGTAAAAACTGTACATGCAAAACCATTTAATAATTATATATGAACAGGCATATAATAAAATTTTTGGGTAGTTCCGTACACAAAATTGTGCACAAAGCAACATGGTTGTGCAATTTTTAAACCAGTTAATTAACATTATCATTCATGCACCCTGAATGGAAATGTGATTAAATGACAATATCAAACCCAAATATTAAGAGCCAGCATCCCTTTGAATGGGCAATCTAGACAAAAAAAGTTAACATTTTAAATTAAGTTTAAAATGGTCCATTATAAAACATCTGCTGTAATCACTCCAAAAGACTTTTCTGATGCAAAATTTCCAGTGCTTTAAGGAATGCATGATAAGATTTAATGAGCTCAGTGAGTCAACTATGATACTCTGATAGTTCTGATTTGAGGTAATTTTCTTTAATTACTTATAGCAAGTAACTCTTCTAATTTGCTTCAGTAACTAGTTTAAAAAACTGTAAACTTAGATAAACTTAGAAATTGGAGAATCTCTGAAAAAATACACATACCTCCCCCTCAAAGTTTGGAGTTAGTGGTAAGTCATATGCAATTATGTTATTCACATTTTAGGAGTTTATTCTCAAACTGTGAAATGAACGGATTACTGAGAACTGATTGAAGCAATTCAGATATTGGAAAACACATATATATTTGTCCTTTTCTTAGCTTTCATTTGTATTTGTCTGGACAAACATTCAAAGAGATATTGCTTCTCTTGTTATCTTGTGACAAACTATTGCAAGCTAGAAGACACGTGAGTCAATATTCCAAACTTTTATTCTTAAGAATAGTTATAAAAGTACTGAAATTTAAAAATAGTAACATGTAAACATTGATACAGAGTAATAGCATTCCTATACACTTATATACACACAGTATTCAGAGAGGACAATATCTTCTGAGTTGAAATCCTGACTTGTGCTTTCCCCTCTCTCCAATAAATACACCAAAAAAGTAGGTTTTTTGTCAAAAAAAAAAAAAAAAGACTCAGAGAGAACACCAACATTTTGCTCCTAGCATTTAAAAGCTTTCCAGTTGCCCATGCAACCATAGGAGAATTTTGGTATGTGAAGAGAATTTTTCTAGCTCCACAAAGTTATCAGAAGCTACTGCTGCATCCAGAGACTCTTGACTTGTGATAAATGCTAAGCACTTTGGAGCAGTCATATCTGAGTCTGCAACACGTGAATCGGGGGTGTATAGGGCGGTGGTGCAGGTGATGGCTTTATTCCTCTCACTCTCATGTAGGACAGAAACTGCTCTGGGATCTCAGCTAAAACATCTTTAGCAAGTCTTGCCATGCTTAACACGTGGTTTCCACTTCTGTCAATGTAATCTCGGAATGGCACAAACTACGAAACAAAAGAGACGTTCACACGGGTCATTATGCAGACACAGAATACATCTTACAATGTAAAAATAAGAAAGTTTTATCTAGGAAGTTAAGAGTACACGAATATGCTACCTTACACATTTTATATATACATACACATATTTCGCATTTTATATTATAAATTTTATATAAGCACATTTTATTTTAATTTTTAGAAATCTGTCTTCTAACAGACAGTGTCGTGCTTTCACTTGGGTGAAGTTCTGCACACAAACCATGGCTAGCTCAGATTGCTAATTATGTGTTTTATTGATATATTTGGTTAATCTCTCAACCCTTTTGATACAAGAAGGTAATTCTGTCTCAGAAAGCTATTCTTAGCTTACATTTCCTTCTCATGGGGCTCTCCTAACAGACTGCCTCTGCTCTGGCAGTTTGCGAATAGAATTTTTGCCACGTGAAGTGAACAAAACAGAAAGGATGACTTTCTATTCTTGACCATTTTGCATTATACCTAGTAGAACTATGAACCACCTGAACGCTTTTTACGTGATACTAACAAATGTATAAAGCATCTAAGCAAAACAGATCTGCAACACCTAAAAAGTTAGCTGCCCAGCTCTGCCTTGGATTTCATAATAATTAATGCGATGCTTGTGCTACTGGTATAGAAAAAAAAGAAACAATCTAGGCTCCCTGATTTTCATTCACAACAGACAGCATGCGGAGAAGTAGTGGGTGAAGCTAGCTAATAGGTTATGCCAAAGGGAAGGCTGACTGGAACTTTTGCTTCTTGCTCAGATTTTGGAGCCTATCTCAGGGCAATAGCTGGGTGACTTTTCAGAATTGGGATTCAATATCCAAAGCTACTTCTGGTACTGATACGCTAGGCTACGCTATGCTGGAACTAAAAGCCTAATGGTGCCTTCACCCTCCTCCCCGCACAAAACAGGGAAGATTTAATTGTTAACTGCTGTACTGCAGGATAAAACTAGAACTGATTGAGCAGTCAAAACCACAGATCTCTCGTGTCCTGGCTGAACTCTAAAATCTGAAGACTCTTTTGCTTATTATACCAACCAGACAAATTTTGCTTTCTTGGAACCACAGCAACCAAGGCTACAGACTAAATTCCATTTTTCTACAAAGCATTGAAGTCTTCAAGATTTAGGGGAACAATGAATTACAGTGTAAGCTAAACTCGGACTGTATTTCTGAGATCCTGAGAGTTTTCCAGAAAAGACAGAAATAAACACAAGAAATCCACTAAATATATTAGACAAATAAAAAAACTCTTGGAGAAAAACAAACAAACAAACAAACAAAAAACCACCCAAACCCAAACCCTAACCAAAACCAAAGACAACATTTCAGCAACAAAGAACTTGTACTTCATAAAAGTGTTTTTACAAGAACTTTGGAAAGCACTTCTCACCCTGGACTTACGAAACCTATCTAGGCATCAATCTCCTACTAAAAGGTGTTGAGAAGTCAAGTAAGAGATGACTGTCTGCATAACTCTCCTAAAAAGGAACTCAAACGGACAGAAAAAAAAAGGCTGCAAGCCTAAGTATTTGAACTATGTTGAATTAAACTGAAACCTGTCACCAAATTAACCATAAACATCTACTGATTATGGTATTTCCCCAGGAAACAGTAGATCTGCAATTTCTTAGAAGACGACGACTTAGTTACAGAATGGTTGAAGCTGGAAGTGACCTCTAGAGATCCTTTAGTCCAAACTTGCTGCTCAGGCAGAGCCAGCTAGTACAGGCTGCCAAGGTCAACAAGACTACAAGAGTAGTCAGCCAGACTGTTCAGTGAGAGTAGCCTTTATTCCAGATAGGAGCATCCTTTACCTCTTCATTGCGTTGTGTCCAAGAATGCACCAGGCGTAAAGGCAGGAGAACAAGAGGCAAAAAGGAACCTGATTTTAGGGTATTAAGGTAGGAAGTAAGGTATCTGCAGTCCCATAATTAGCTGCCTTAACTATTTCTGTGTTTATTCAGTGACTCTTCGACACAAGAGACAAGCACATACTGTGACATTTACTAGTACTGACTCCTCCATTTAATAAAAAAAGCTCTAGCAGTTCTCAGAAGCCAGCCCAGCACTGCCCTGTTGCCAGTGGTTGTTCCTTCTTTAACCACATCAACTTTTCTGTATGAATACATTTCACTGTCCCCAGAAGCATGAATTTAAAAGAATAACAAAACAAAGCACGCATCTCTGTAGCCTGCTGGTTTACACATTCAGCTAGGAATGGTTAAGCTTGGTCTTTATTTCCCCTCATATGGTTATTCATTCTCCAATGCAGTCTGAGTTAAAGAACAAAGTGTGTCCCATCCCAAGAGATCACCTTACCCATTAGTCTGCAGACATGAAAACTCACAGACCACTGTTCTGCAGCAAAGGGAGGCTATTTTAACAGCGTAATTGTTGAAATGCAATTATACAATATGGACAGCGTGAATTAGCTCACTCTCTCCTCTCCTTATGGTATATAGATGTTGGGGGAGCTGGAAGAACTATGGACAGATAAGCATACAGATACACAAGGACAGCTGGCAATGACAGCAAGGCCTAGAGCTAACATGTAGAAGAAGTAGAGGTGGCAGAGGAATAGATGGAAAGATGTAAGAGAAACCAAAGGGAAACTGATGAAATGTAAAGTACTTTTTCTACAGTTTAAGAGTTTAATTGAAAAGGCCAGTATACAAAATTTTGAAGAGAAACAATAGGTACATTACTACAAGTAAGTATTTTCCTAAAACTTCTGAAACAGAAAAAGGATAAAAAAGGACCAGAAATGAAATAAACTGAGGAAGAATTGGTACATATATAATACAGAGTCCCTACAATATGTATGTGCACTAGCGAGGAGGAAATCACATAGGTCATATCTTTACATGAATTGCAGTCAGTAGTACATATAATAGATCCACTGACTCACTGTTAGCAGGCAAATTTTTCCTTTATAAATTTAATTAAAATATTTCACAATACTGACTGTTAAACAGTTAATTTCACTAGCTAATTTTAACTAACCTAATACACAAAAAAGATAAACTTTTTACATTTGAGTAGTTAATTTTATAAAAGCAAATCAATTTTATCCCGTCAGATAGAAAATAAAGGTCATTACAAACCTAAAGGGTTTGATATTATCCCTTTTTATTTATTTAGCTAGCCTGTAATGTATTTGTTAGTATTCAGGCAGAAAAAGAGCACTGCCTTCAGGTAATTCAGTATGGCTTGGGGCAAAGTTCTGACTGAAATATGTGAATAGTAAAGAAATATTTTATTACATTTCTGATATGCAATGAATTCTAAAGAAATACAAAAGGATACTCACTGCATATTATTTTTTATTTCTCAGCAGAAGTTAGAGTTATTTCTGATGCAAAGCATTTTTCACAAATCTTGTTTATAACATTTGAAGAACTCTATCATTTATGCGCTTTGAATGTAAAACCAGCAGGTTTGGGGCTGCAGTTTTTTGGAGAAATTACGTATAATTACATGGCGTATATTGAAATGCATTTAAACATAAGTGCAATGCATGCCAGAGATATCTGAATTAGCTTTAAAAAATCTGACATGGCACAAGGCTTTGCAGAAATACTAGTCTGGGGTCCAGAAACACTTCCAGCTCTGGAGGGAGACCTCCACATATTGCTCCGTTAAACAGCACTGACACAGCATAACAGACTACAGACAGCCCCTCTCTAGCTCAATATGGACTGCCAAGGAACGTGATAAATGCTTCGACAAAATGAGAAATATTATTTCTTGCCTCTTGTTCATCTGTCCAGCTTCTCCTCATCCCTACTTGTATAATTACCTTTTTGACAACACTGACTAAAGCAGCCAGTGTGCCTTACTCTTCTAAGAGTTTTGATATGTCACTTTCCCATCAGTTTTCTCTGTGTGTTGCAGAAATGAAAAAAGTCTCTTTTCCAACTATCAGAGAAAGTAATTCAGGAATCTATGACATGCTTTAATGTATATCCATACGGATTATGGCAGTAATTTAACTGCTGTCATCTTATTCTCATTTCTGATTCCCATTTAGGAAAAAAGTAAAGAGAATTTTAATGTAGTATGTATTGCACTGAGAAGCTTTAAGACTGGAAAAACAATCTGATCATTTTAATTTCCATATATCTATGTAGACTTATTTATTTTGTATTCTAAACAAAAAGAACCATAAACCCAGGTGTCACATACACGTTTTGAACACTTCCTTGGATGGAGATATTGTATCCACCAGCAGTTATCAAATCCTTACACATTCATATACTAGTATTTGTAACATTAAAAATTTGGAAAAATTTCAGTTCCTGCATCTACAAATGAAAACAAATATACACATTCCGAAGTTCATCAGCTGCAAGCTGACCTTATTATTAAAACATTATCACCTGCAATATAAGCTATTCACATAGCTCAGTTATTCAATATATATAGGTATTTTACTAACGAACAATAATATAAAAATCCAACCTGGGTTGGAGAGAAATAAGTGAAAATAAGCAAGAGGAAAAATAAGTGAAGACTATGAATTTTAACAAATAGGAGGGATAAAGGGAAAAAAAGAAATTGAAGATCTAAGGTAAGTTTTGAACCTAAGGATGCCTATCAGTGTTCAAGAGGCATTTGGACAATGCCCTTAATAAGATGCTTTAACTTTTGGTCAGCCCTGAAATGGTCAGGCAGTTGGACTAGATGTCCATTGTTGGTCCCTTCCAACTGTAATATTCTATTTCATAAATGTATTCAGACACTTTCAGGAAAATACGCCTTCCATAAAAGACTTAGTTTTAGACAGATATCATTCTTTCTACACTCATCAGGTTGATCCAGTTTTTCAGGTTTGCTGGTTTTCAAATGTCAACTTTATTAGTCTGCTTTGGCAAGCAGAGACCGGTGTGCTGAGCCATCAAACATCTCTCTCTTTGTTTGGTTCCAATTCAGTATCTCATGAAAATAAAAAGTGCATAGATAGTTAATTTTATTTGGTCAAGAAAATAATTATGGAATGGAGTCTGTCTAGGGCAGGTAGGTAATCAGGAAGCAAGATGGGGTGCCTGGAGCATCAATGAAGTACACAGTTTGGACAACCTGTGGAGTTCTAGAAAACTGCAGCTCTGAGGGGAAGGGGGATTATGGTGGGTATGCATGTACATGCAAAACTGCTATACCATCCTGCCAGTGGTTGTGTAGGTTTGAATGACAACTACGGGGCTGACTCAATGACCACAGAGAGCAGGAACAGAACCAGAGGACTTTGGCAGAGAAACAGAGGCGTCTGTGAGTGCAGATGAGTGTAGCACTCTTACGGCTTGGTTCAGTTACATAAACACAGGATCATAGAACGGTTTGGGTTGGAAGGGACCTTTAAAGGTCACCTAGCCCAACCCCCCTGCAATAAGCAGGGATGTCTTCAACTAGATGAGGGTGCTCAGAACCCCTGTCCAAACTGACCTCGAGTGCTTCCAGGGATGGCGCATCTGCCACCTGTCTGGGCAACCTGTTTCAGCTATCATCTGAGGTTCCTTAAAGCACGAGACATCTGCAAGGTTGTACGTTGCAGATGCAACACAGGAACCGGGAGACACTCATTGTCTTCTGGACTGGCAGTTAGAGGCAAAGAAAGATACCCTAGGCATCTCAAATGCACTTGTTAGAAGTCTAAGTATTGCCGACTTCCACAAAAGCTGCAGATTTTCTTCATGGGATCATAGGAGATTGCAGTACAGAGGCACTAACTCTTCTCCCATGGCTCTATAACCCTAAGACTTTCTGTCAGTGTGCTGCCAGTTAGGGGTCGTTTCCTAATGAATGCAGATCCACTACTGTATGTTGTATAAAGGCTTATAGGTATCACAGAGAGTTTCTGAGCTTGTTATGAACAGCTCAAGATAAAGCATGTCAGTGCGAAGGTAAAATGAAAGGCAGGAATATAGATAGCAACAAGAATTCAAAACAAACAAGAAATCTAACTATTAGAGTAATTTTTTTCTCCCACCTGCACAATGTCTCTTTCTGCAAATTTTCCTCTTGAAGAAATCCTCACTACATCACCATCCAGTTCTTCCATAGCTTAAAAAAAAAAAAAAAAAGAAACAAAATGAATTCCTCTATGAGCTCAGCTACACAACAAAAACAATCTTACTGAGAAAAACTTTAGTCAATTTACTGTTTAGGTCAACAAAACCAAAATCTGTTATTTAGGTAACTCTTTAGGATCATTTGTGCCATAAAATACATCATGCTTTGTAGTTATTTTGCACTTTTTCATGCTGACAATACATACTTTTTGCCTTTATTGTCATCTTCAGAACAAAACAGACCATGACAAGGTCCTTATCCTTCAAGCTCTCAAATCAGAAAGTATATCTGTTTTGGTATGGCTATATCTATACTTTCCTAGGTGGAGAAGAATTCATCTTCAGCAATTAGTGTTACAGAACATATCATAGGATACAGCACAAAGAGGTAATAACTCACATTCATACTGGAAAAGTAAGGACTGTTAATGCATAGGAATGAGAAGTTCTTAAAAAAAATTAAATTTATTAGGTAACTCTTCTTGTATGCTTCTGAGCAGGATACAAGAAAAAACGTAAAATTGTCCAGATACCCAGAAGCCATTCAAGATAGAAAGACAGCCCTGCTTTCTGCTCAGTGTTGAAACGTATGGATTCGGGATCACAGATTATTGCTCAGCCATTGGATCTGCAATCCTACAATCCTTCTTTCAGCATACACTATGAAAATCAAAGCCCTGCATCACTGAGCTTCTCAGGGCTTTGCAAACTGGGCTGAGTTCAGTGAAACCAGCATTTCAAAACCTAGTTCTTTCAATGCAAGAACTAGAAAGCATAAATGACGCTATCAGGAGCCAAGTTCAAGCCAAACAAAATAGCATGTTTCTTCAAAAAAAACCAATTAGTAGGTCTGCAGAGCACATTGCCAGATGATGCTGTTGATGCAAAAAATGTACACGTGTTCAAACCAGGAGACTGAACAAGTGTTTGAAGGAGAGATCCACTGCAAATATCCAAAATAGACAAAAAGCACAGGAAATTCAAATATAAAACAGTATTCAGGGAAGTATCATATTTGCTTATTCTGTTCTTAACATTCTCTAACCACCCATGTCGGTGTCAGATACAGAATACTGGTCACAACAGACGCCTGATCTGACCTTTTATAGTCATCCCCACACCCTTAAGTAACGCTCTGCCAAATGTCTGAGCTCCAGACTTTTAAGGACCCCTCTGGTAGCCCCCAGGGGCTGGAAGATCTAGGGGGCAGTGATACCTGGAGAGGAGTAGCTTAGTCTCTCTACAGCAGAACTGGGGCTTGACTGGCATTTGAATTGTAAGACAGTATGCCCGGAACATACACCCTCTTACACACACACTTCTTCAGCGACCACATCAGACATGGAGTCTGCTGTTTTTTTCCAGAAGGAATTTCTGGAGATGGAAAAGTCACTTCTCTGCCCTCTTGGGCATTGAGAGACTACAGATTTGGCACACATCTAATAGGTGATTTTCACTGAGGCAGTATACTCAAGGATTGTGGGTCCAGAGATGGAAAATGTATCCTGCAGTCCAAACAGATTCCTGCCATAAGAAAAGCAATAGGGATGACACCCCAAGAAGTCTGCAAAGACAACCTCCAGAAGTAAAAAGAAGACAGAGTCTATGTGTCCTGCATGAGTTAAGGGGAGCCTGGGCAAATTCAAGGACTGGACAAACAGGGAGAAAGGGAAAAAGCAAAGGACAGAAAAGTAAGTAACATATGACTACAGTTGGAATTTTCAGGCGTAAAAATGAAGCTTGCAAATTTCCCTCATATGCGTTTATGAAGATAGAAATGTCTTTTCTCATTGCTTATGGCATACAATCACCTGACATGTAAGTGCTGACCTGGACAATTTCTTCAAGGAATAAGATACTTAAAATTATCACTAATATACCACTTGCCAAAAAGCATAAGAAAGTCAACCCCCAACAAATTATTTTTTTTGGTGTTATTTTTTTCCTCTTGTTTTCATACTCTTAGAACATTTGTACAAGAATTAATAGGTACAGTCATTTGTGACTATTTACATTATACATCTGTGGCAGTACTAAGTATATTTCATGTACAAAAGAAGGTATACCATCTAACCAGAAGTACTTGAATTAAAAAGAAAGAACGTAGAACTTTGAGGAATGGATATACAGGGAACGTCTACATTTCATAGTGCAGTCATATACACAATGGCATTTAATAAATTAGGCCGAATCATGGAAGCAGCTTAGTCATTGCAATAGAGAACGGTGTTCCAGAACGTTACATGAAAGAATATGCAAATAATCCTAGTTATTTCTCTCCTGCTGTAATATTTTCTCAATGCTGCTACAGACTAAGGCTCACTCCTCTTATCTAGAGAAACCCAGTTTAACCCAGATCACCTCCTCAAATGTATTTATTTTTCTCAGTATTTTATTACTGCAGTAAGAACAGATGATCAATTTTTCCAGTCAACTAACACTTCACAAGGCAACTAAATATCCGTGTTGAAGAAATTCAATGTTACTTGAGTATACTTACTTTACCGTGGTTTTTTTTTTCCCCACTCATCTTCTGGAGCTCTGTAAATGCTGAGCCCCCATATGGTTCTGTGACTTGAACAGAGAGCCCGAGGGGCTACACAGCTCCACATGGCAGCTTGTAATCATACTGACTTATCAATCAATCCAGCTGGAAATGTCAACAGTGCTTACTGCTTGTTCCATATTACGCTCTTTTAAAGAACAGTATTTTTTTGAAAAGCTACATATTACTAAAATGTAAACAAATATAAAAAATTCTAAGAAAAACACTAGAACACTTACCATCAAACTCTGCTGGTCCTACCCCCACTATAATTATTGACATTGGAAGCTTCGAAGCCTTCAAAAGAAGAAAAAGAGGTTTAATGCATTACATAACCTCTGCCAATGATATGGGAGATCTGAGGACAATCTGAATAAAAAACATGCAGAAGTGATGTTTTAAAGGACAATTTTTTTTCCACCTAAAAAGTTGAGTGGTGTAAACTGTCTTTTTAAGTAATATAAAACATCTTGGATGAACACAGAACGGCAGATTATTTTAATTTATTTTTTTCTTATAAAGTCTTTGAATCATACAGGATCATAATTAAACACAACAAACTCTGTTAGGATTTAATATTAATATGACAACTAAGATGACAAATTTATCTTAGAAACTTTTGTAAACTGACAATAAATGCAAATATGTACCTAATAACAGTTGACATTTATTTAAATGTGCTTTGCTGTTTCTTGATTTTACATAGCTGATGGGAACTATGTGACACTATTTTTTACATAGATCTTATGCTAATTTTTCTCAAGAGAATAAATCACCTATTTGAGCAATATGTATCTTATAATTCTTCCATGAATGAAATTTTATTCAAGTCAGTCATCCATGCCATAAAGCAAGCAAGATATCGAACAGACTTATGGAAAGATTTTTAATTTTACTTAATCTTTTTCATTCAATGAAACAAGGCAAAAATTATATCTGGCTTTCCCTGAATAAACTCTCTGTAAAAACTTTAAAATTACAAAGACAGTATCGTAAATGTTGGATTCTCCTGCCCTGATAGTAGCACCAGATATCTGCTAGTTTATAGAAATAATCTGAAACTGCCTCTGTTGAGGAGAGTAACAAACAAAAAAAAGCATCTACCAAATGTCAGGGTTGACAACTGTTCCTTATTGAGACATTCTGATGAACTGTGAAATGTCTACAATCATTTTAAACAGGAGTATACCCTGGCTAAACATCATAGATGTACACTTTCTGCTAAATTAAACTCTGCTTCACTGAATTCTGAAGTCGTGGGTTTAGAACATACTGTTATATTTTTCCTTTGGAATATAAAAAGTGTTTTTCTCCCTCATTTAAAAGATATTCTCATTTTAGATACATCATCAGTATTTCCCATTCTTCATCTGTCATAATACTACATATATAACCAACTTTATTTAAGCAGGAGATTTACAGTTAATTACTGTAAATGTGATACTTAAAAAAATGAAAATACACCATTCTATAATTCACTATTTAATGTTCTACACCACTATATATTATACACTATACATTGACTGCAAATTCATCACAAAGTGTAACTACATAGTCAATCTTAGAGCTAAAATTTTGTAGCAGAGTGAAAAAAAAAAAATCAATAATCTCTTGGTAGTTAAATATTAATATGCTACTGAAGATAATAGTAAAAGCTGTTTGGCCATGGTCCTGGGCAAACAGCTCTAGGTGGCCATGCTTGAGCAGGGGGCTGGACAAGGTGATGTCCAGATGTCCTTTCCAACATCAACCAGTCTGTGATTCTGTGATTAAGGGCCATAAACACAGTGTAACTGAGACTGAATTACAGTGTTCTGCATAAGTCAATAATAGCAAGTATAGAAAACTTTTGAACATGAAGGCATTTCTTAGAACAAAACATCTTCTGGTTTTCAGGTTATTGCTTGATTGTAAAGAAAACATGCTTTAAAGAGATTCCTACTCACACAGACACGATATTATGTGATGCAATGTATATGAAATAGGAAGTGGCAAGGACAGTATAAAGACAGAGTTAAACTTCTGCATATAAACTTAAGTGTTGGCATTTCCTGAATGACAGCATAACCTTTAGACAGTTTGGTAAAACAGAATGTGTCTGACATATATGCTGTAATGAGAAAGATGCCTAAAAGCATAATTAGTGTTAAAAAATGAAATATACTTTTCCTGAGCTTTATACATATCAAGTAGCATTGAACATCACCGCCCTTTTTATTATTTCAGATATTATTAAGGCTGAAAAAAATGCTATTGAATAGCATTTAATTAGTTTTGTCATGACATACTGCGCTAACACTGCAAGTATATGGAAAAATGAATGCATCTTCATAAAAAGACAGCAAATATTCCCAAACTTCCACTCATTCCAAGCTAACAACACATCTGCTGTGTTCCCAAACAGTTGCAGACTAACAGCTATTATTCCTGGAAATTAACTATTACTGGAAACAAGGTTTTTCTTTATGTCTTAGCGGCAAATTACTTACTCTTACAAGGTATCAGCCAACTGGAGTTGCTGGTGTCTTACTTACGGACTTCAAATTGAGGGGTGAGTTAAATCAAGAGCTGCTCTTTTTTCTCCATGGAGCCTCTTTGTCACCTAAAAGAAGCTCATCTAAAAGAAGCTATGTTGCAAACTTCTAAGCTATGCTAGAGGATGAACTTCTAAGCTAAAAGCTTGTTTATCTCCTTTAAAAGTGAGAGTCAGTTTATCCTATTTTAATATTGGAAGCTGGAAGGGCAGAGGAAGTAAACTGGTACCTTCAAACACAGTTACAGGTTTGGGAACAAAAACAACACACAGACTCTGTCTACATGCTGCTGGCTAGAACTTGAGGGCATCTTGCTCTCCAGTGAAAGACAGAACATTTCAATAATATTTTCATGTGCAGCCTACAAACTGGAATGGTACTGAATCTCTACAGGAGGTAGTCAAAGTGGGTGTTGAAAAATATAACACCTAATTCTACGCTACTCATTTTGACATGATGCTTAATTACTTCAATACAGGCTTTTCACCCTTAATTTCACTACTAACTAGATCCACCATGGTATGTTTAAAACTATCGGTATGGATCTTTTCTAATCCTGTCTGGAAGTTGTTTCTGTGTGTACTTTCATCTGACATTTCCCAGGGGCCAAAGCAAAATGGAACCTCTTCATAATACAAAATATTAATTATATGCATAGCAGTTTTGGAGAGAAAAATATTGAAAATAATGCAGAAACTGAGACACAATTAAGAATTTTTAAAATTCCAGGGGACTATTTAGAAGGAAATCAGATGACTGGTATGCTTGCCGTTTGGGATCAGGAAGTCTGAGGCAGTTTTTAAACAGGTGGGTGGGGACAAACAAAGTTGTCTGCAATTGCTGGAAAGAAAAAGAACAATTCACTAAGAAAAACTGCATGGTGGGATGTGCCTGAGGAAGGAGGTGGCAAGAATCAGATAAGGAAAATCATGGGAACATACAGTGTTAGACAGAAGAGTATCATTTCCCACCGAACACTATTAAGCTGAGATTCAACTTTTGGCTTGTTTTTGTTTTTATGCATAATAAACTTCTACTGTTTGGAAAAAAACAGTTAATTTATGGAACAAATTTAGTGCCTGATTTAGTATATTGCCTAAAATATTAATTCCTAGAAACATAATTCTTTTACATTTCAACACTTTCAGCAAAACTTACATTCACTATGGATTCTTTTGTCTGAGCCATATCGGAAATAACTCCATCTGTAATAATGAGAAGAACAAAATACTGGGAGCCATCTTTTACTGAAGCAGCATACCTAAGGGAAGAAAAAACAACATAATAATAGTAAAAAAAAAGTTTATACAAAGGAACTAATATGAAAAGAAGCTGTATTTTTTAAATTTGACTACTAAGGACTAATAAAAATAAAGAAACGTTATGTGGTGGATTTCAAAAGTAAAAACATTAATAATTTAAATGGACTTTTAAATAAGAATATTAGAAACATAACTAATACAATATTGATACTGATGATCTGCATGTGTTGAATCAGTAAAAAATGGGAACTGTTTCACTACCAAGAGAAGCATGGACAGAATGTCCTTTATAGAATCATAAGTCGTTAGAAAGTATAAGTTATTTAATAGTCATTACCTCTGGGGAACATAGTTGATGTGAAAGGAATACATTACTTCTGAATGGTTGGTTTTATAGCACAAATAAAATTTATCAGGAATCAGCACGTTGCATAAACATTTCTTTTTTTTTTTGGCTTACAAAAACAGGTTACTTACTGTTGACCATACTAGCAGATTTATAGTTCACATTTATGTGCACATTTGTAAAATGGCTGAATGTGCACCCTGCAACCTTGGCTTAGATACTCATCTCTTTGCACCACCCACAGATGTCCTTTCGAGACTCAAGCCTCTCCCTGTGCTGTACACAAATACAAGACAAAACATATGCACCATCCCTGGAAACCTTCAAGGTCAGGTTGGAGGGGGCTCTGAGCAACCTGATCAAGTTGAAGATGTCCCTGCCCATGGCAGGGGTGTTGGACTAGGTGACCTTTAAAGGTCCCTTCCAACCCAAACTATTCTATGGTGCTGTGATTCTATATCCAGTGCCACTCCAGTCCTGGCTCAGCTGAAGGACCCAAGAAGCAATTGCTCTTTGAAAATGAGACGCTTTTGAAGATTTGGAAAGTCCTGAAAGACAGCAAGTCTGTAGAAGCCCCACTGAATTCTATGGCCTGCATACCAGAAACTGAGACTTCAGTTCATTTATCTTCAACTCCCAAGGGTCAAAGTGACCTATATAGTTAGTGAAGAACTCTTTGCATGGAGCACTCTGCTCCACTTGCTGCTTCACTTGACAGCAGCCAATATAGTTACTACTTTCATGAAGGCTCTTGGTGCTGTGAAGAAGTAAAATATAGGAGAACCTCGTAATGAAAGTGGCAGTGAGTAGTATGGAGAGCAGGACAAAAGAAAAATTAGTCTCCACATGAATACTGTGGAACATATGCCCAACAACAGAATATGACCGTCGAAGAACTCACTCACCTTACTGGTCACTGAACGCAAAAGACCTGCGTCACTGAACAGGGTATGTTCTAATAATGTTCACGACGATTGCATGTGCTTAGACAATTCTAACTCTGATGTTACACAGTGCATTTGCAAGTAAGTACTGCCAATAAATCAGATGCTATAACCACAACATTTACAAGAGTTTGGAGGGATGTGTGTGAATCGGAATCTACAACTCACATAAAGCCATCACACTCCTCCTTCTTCCTCCCCAAGATATAGATGGGTAGAAAAGCCACATGGACAATGAACCTGTTGAACATCTTCTAGTTGCTTGCTGGCAGTAGGGACTGATAGTTAAATATCTAGAATAACAAGACCTAATGTGGAATACATTTTCCCTACTATGTGGAGACTTCTTTTATCTCTTTTTTGCGCAACGCTTATAATCTTTTCATTGATGACTGCAGTGATAAGTGATGATGAGAGAGTAAAATAAAAAATCATTATCCTTTCTGAGCACTTAATACAGTCTACATACCTACACTGAAGAAATGGAATAGAAATTTGGCTATTTCAAATTTTCCACATAATACAATATTCTGAAGACTTTTGCAAGAAAGATCTTGTATGAGGAGGGGATATGACAGAAGACACTAGGTAGATTCTGGTGTAGTTTAGATATCTTTCCCCTACCCATAGAGTTAATAAACTCATTATCTGCTTAAAGAGATTCTGAAGAGTTACAAGATCACAACAGGATAGTAATATCTGACACAGTTTCCAGAGATTTCATCAGAGGCACATTTTTACGTAGGAGGGATGGGGGAAGAAGAAATTCCTTTGAGACTGAAAGTAGGTTCAAAGAGTAACTGCAGGCTAGATCATAATTTCTACTACCATGTCTATAAGAGTAAACAGAATAGCCAAGAAACCGAACTTTGAAGGAAAACGATGTTACTGGGAACAGGACTGGTACATGGATCGTATTAAGGATGATCGTGCAGTAGAACTCCTCATGAAGATACTTATCTTTTCCACTATAATGTAGTGTGACTTGCTACCAGAAGGAGGTTCCAAAGTTTGCAACAACTTAATATTTAGACAAAAGTTCAGTGGAAGAACTACAAATGCTGGTGGCGGAGTTCTGTAATTCTGCAAAAGTTGACAAATATTCCTGAGAAACAACTGGTGAGAAAAGGAACCCAACTTGTGCCAATGTTTTGATGACTAGACCATGAACGTTAATTTTTTGCAGTGAACAGGAGGCTTGAGGTTAATTGCCAAATTCTGAACCAGCCAGCTCAGCTGATATGATAACTCTAAAGAAGAAGAAAGAGCCAGAAAAGTCAATGAGTTAGACTTCTAGTTAGCATGGCTAATGCAGACACTGAATGCCACATTCATGGAATTCAGCTGTCAAAAGGATCGGCGTATTTCCTCACAGTCTGAAAACTGCTACTGGAGAGACCCTGTCAAAGGGAAGATTAAAAGGAGACAGCTAGTTTCTAAAGAGAAGCAACGGAACACACATGTACATAATTTGAATGGTATGATTCGAAGATGGAACAACTAATCCTAATGATAAATAACTGAAATCCACTATCAAGCCATGCTGCAGAGAAAATTTGCAAATTATTTTTCATTGGACTGTAGAACTAACAACAGCAAGAACAGATAGTAAATACGTATTCCTTGCTACAACAATTAATATTTTGCAAACTCATAAATAAAACATTAACAGTACAATGATTTACATATCCCTACTGATTTATTTTACAAACATTAGTTTTTTCTCTGTATCTATAAATAAAATAAAATCTGTTCAGGTAGTTACTCAGCCAAATTATCTGAGCCATACCACTTTTCCTATACCAACACATGGAACGATACTGTAAGTCAAGATCTTGTCTGCTAAAATAAGGCAACATTATCCTTAAGAAAATTCTACAAACACAAGACGGATTTTACTTTGGGAAGTTAGATGAGGTGTTGCATAACACAGTATCGCGGCTCCCCAGCAGTGGCTGCTGTACTATTGCCTTAACAGTATGACTACCAGCTGGGAATTGTAGCCACAGAGCACCCTGGAAAATTTTGTTGAGGTCTTGAACATTTTGAGATTAGAGGAACTACATATGCATTCAAAAATTGCATTTTATGAATTTTTGATAGATTTATGTCTTTTTTGTGACGCAAAAATTCTGTGCTCCAAAGGACAAAAAAGGAACATGACAGAGTGACCTCATAAAAATTTTCTTTATGATTTCTCCTAAGATTTTAACACAGGGTGGATCAACTGGATCACTTGTATTTATTTTTAAAGAGGAATGAAATTCTGCATAATACTAGCACATGGTCTTCCAACCTACTCAAAGCTACAAGTTAATCACATTACACTGAATAAACAAAACAACTGTAAATACCTTTTTTCAATGTTTAGCATCATGTAACTGTTCCTTTTACATGTGACAGTTGTACTGAAAATAAGAGTTTTCTGCAAAGCACCTGTTGTGATGCTTACCTGGCTACATGATTAATTACAGGGGCAAAATTTGTTGGTCCATAAAGCTGTACAGATTTTAGACTCCTGTAATATGCCTCCATTACTCCATCAATTCCATGGCAGTATGGATTTTGAGGGTTTCCATTCTAATGAAAATAAGAGATGGTTAATCACTAAAAGTAATTATGAAGCAAAAATGATGTAGGTTAGTGAACACTACCCAGTGTATATTTTTAAATGGCAAAGACCTAAGCATTCTAGGATCTATTCAGAGAGATACCACAAATGCCTAATGTAAGTGCCATGGCTGGTTGTGAGTGTTAACTGCCTGGGGAAGGAGCAGCCTCATGTTATATGCAGTCTGAATCACCGGAACTGGTTCCTAGACATAAATACCATCTCAAGTGAAATTAAACAGTCTTTCTTACATGCAACAGTAACAGCCATTTCCCCATGTGGATTTAAAGTATGAATTACAGGGCAGATGTAAAATCGGAATCATGTTCAGGAGCACAGTTCTGGCTCAATGATTTCTTATTTCAAAAATGTGAAAAAAAGAAATGGTTGCCAGATCCTGATGTTCATACACGATGTGAGTATGAGGTAAACTATAAACTCTTCATTGTTTTGGTACAACGTTTCTGCATTGGAAAACTGATTTTCTACCTGGTATAAACAGATAAAGAAAGGAACTTATTCTTTGGGAACAATAATATAATGAGGATATCAATTTACCGATGATAATACAAACATATAAATTAAATCCCAGATTAATGATCCACATCAGGCCAGACAAATGATTCACATAAGGCTTCAAAACCTTCTGAACCACCTAGCCTCCTTCATGTGCCACCACCTCCTTGGCTTAATGTGCCAGTATCTCATTCTGAGAATCTAGAGAAGCAAAGGGGATTTTTCATGGAATTGATCTACAATGTTAAGAGTGTGTTGAAAACACTGCTTAGCATTAAATGGGAGACACCTGTATATGTTTATATATGGAGGAAGGAAACAAAGACTTTTTTTCATCTGTAAAAGCAGCACAATGCCTCATGAATTAACTGAATTAATTTTGGAAACAACTTTTAAAACTGAAAGTAGCCAGGAATAAGTCTGCTGTTTTAGTAGCCTTAAGATTATATGTATCAATATATTTGAACTTGCTACATGAAAGTCCAAAGAAAGTCTGTGATTCAAATGAATATCTGCAATTGCACCTGTTTTAAATTACTATCCATGTGGAAAACCTTTCCTTGAGATAAGACGTGGGGCATTGTTTTCTAGCACAGGCTGCCAGAAGAAATACGCATCTACAATCACCAGTCTTCTGCCATGACTTTGTTGCTATCTAATTAAAACTCACCCAATATACCTACACTTGCTGTAATTCTGACAACTTTATCCTCCTCAGAGAACAAAAAACTCAAAATAAGCAAGTAGATAGACATCTGCACTAATCACAAGCATCAGTTATAACACATCAACCTTTCTGGCAAATCCTGTTAGATTTTAGGTTTGTAATATAACAGGCACATGGACCAGCCTCAGATTTGTTCTTGTCGCCTCAGCTTATAGTCCACTTAGTTATCTCTGTGTCTCTAAACTAGCAGCCTGTAAAAGATAAAGAGATCCCAGAAAATGAGAGAGAACAGTAACAATGAAAGGTCATCTTGGATCATGATTCACTTGCTTCTTAAGATAGATTAGCTTCAGTCTGAAGTCTTTCAAGCACCTGTTTCTCATGCTGCTACAGATGAGGTTAAAGATGATTACTTTTCTTTATTACTATTTTTGGCCTACAGGGACTTCTTGACTCTGTATTTCTCTCAGTAACTTCACTATGATGCAAAATTTTGAAACAGTCTTTTAGACAGAAGAATTAGCACATTCTCTGTTCTTTACTTGTCCAGTAATTGCTTAAGACTGCAACCTTAACTCCCAAAATTTTGTTGCAGTAAAGAAATTCAAACAATATATAAATATTTACTTACCAGTGCAAATTCATGTGATACTCTTCCATCTGGAGGCAGTCTAGCTCCAAAACCTAGAGCTGGGAACATTTTATCGCTATCATAGTCCTGAATTATTTCACCTACTGCTTTCAGTGCCATGCCATATGCATTCAGCTGATAGGGATTCATGTAGTGCAGTGAAGTAGGCTGTGAAGGGTTACCTGTTGAAGCAAGGATCAGATTTACTTTAAAACTGAATCACTTCAAAATTTTCTGTCTTAAAAATGATAGAAATCTAAGAAAGCAGAAATTGAAAAGAAAAGATCATGAAAAGAAAATGAACTTGTTTCCTATAAACATAATTGTGGTTTTATCAGGTAAAAATGCAATGTTCTGAATACATTTTCAATAGGTTAACAGTAGTAGATGTAAACTTCTTCAGCATTGAAAGGGCAGTAAGAAACTGTGATTAGACTTGTAAATTTGTGTCACTTTATAATACGATATACACTTTTAAGATGAAATTTACAGAAGTATTATTACATTCTAAAAGCAGCTTTGGAGGAGGATTAAAACCTTTGTCCGCTTCACCCCACTTCAGCTTCACTCCACCTGAAACTCCTTTTTTTGCCCCTCTCAATGGGGTATTCTAAGTTAGCCAGTTTTCTCCCAGCAATAACAAAGAAACAACAAAAAAAAAATCAGAAGTACACAAATATTTGCAAAGTGCTCCTACTTATTCAATTTTATATGTAGCTTTTCCAATTTTTATCTGTTCTGTTTGCACTACTTTTCTGGACAGGAATTGGCCTCTATTCTGTTGCTCAGCAAAACGGAATCCTGATTCCAGGTGATGCCAGGCATACAGATAATCAATAATACAATGAAGTTAAGCAGAATACTGATGTAGATACATACAAACACACATATGTACACTTAAAGCTGAACACAATATATACATACACAAGTTGTTTATTTTTGTTCTTACCATTTGAGGCTGTGAAATCAATAGCTACTGTGAAATTGATTTGGGTTCTGTAGAAAAAGCAAATACAAATCTCATTTAATAGTTTTATTATTATGTGGAAAAATAAACAAGAGATGATAACATTGTTTGTGGACAAACTGTAGGACACTGACTTTCTAATACAGGAAATAAACACTGAAATACTCTTTTATAAGGTTCCAGCCAAGAGCTACGCAACGTTATTTTATTAACACACTGAAACAAGTTACTTTACTCCATCCTTCCTTTTTTTCATTGCTTATGAAAAATCCTAAATCATTAATAAGGTTGTTAACAACCATAAACTTAATTAATTCATTTTCAACAGTAATATTGATTTTTCCTTGGACATATTTTAGCCCTAGTCATGGAAGACTTTGACAAAGGAAGTAGCTTTTACTAATCTGCTCCTTTTCTTAATACTAAAACTGTGTCTTCAATCAGAACGTGTTTGAAATCATGACATGCATAAAATCTTTGGACAGGATATCCTAGTTTTTGGCAGTGGATTTCTTTCGTGTGAACATAGTCAATACTTTGACTGAGCATATCAAGGTATCTCTTGGAAGACAAAAGTAAAATCTGGAAGCAGGAAGATCTGCATTTGGAGCAGTAGCTAAATAAAGCCATTATCCTGCATGGATCAGTTGTAAGCATAAACTTATTGTCAGAAAAATTCATCATTAATAGACTTTTACTGAGTGACAATCCAATTAAATGCAGTTCTGTTCTGCAGCTTCCTTCAGGACAAAATACTGTTGTTCTGGAGGTAACCTCTTAGCTAGTAAGACTCTATCAGGAAAAAGAGTTTGTATGAATTTGAAAATTGACTTTTTACTCAGATTGAGTCTTTTATATCTTCCTTCAAATCTCTCAGTGTGTGTGACTATGAAGTTAATGACCAAATTAGCAAAGATTAAAGCTCTTTGAATGTTACTGAACAGATTTAACTCATGCACATTTAGATTAAACATCAACAATCTGACATCTGGCCTTGCAATAGTGGTTTTACTGCTCAAATAACCTGACGTGCCTAGAGAAAATACTATTTATTTCATAAAAAGCTGGATATATATAAAAAAAAAAATCACATGGAATCATTTGATAGTACTGATCAAGGGTTACACAAACTAAGCTAGGTTACCGGTGGACTCTGTCTCCAAAAAGTGGTAAATGCCAACCAATACCCACAGTATCAAGAAAAGTCATTGGAACATGGTCAGCAAAGAATGTGTCTAAAACTGCTGTGGCCGCAATATGGACTTCAACAAAAAAAACCCAGTGAAAGCTGCTGCAACCTCTGAAAAGTTCAGAGACCTAAGCTTTATAAGAGAATTTTTCTGCCAATACTCCTGCATTCTACTTTATGCAGTTTCACCGCAAAAGTTTTAATGGCATCACAAGCCAGATTTTGTTTGATCAGCACCCAAATGTCAGGCCCTGTGGCCTCTTAACCACAATGTCCTTCTGCACTGTCAGTTAGTTGTAAGAATAAAGATCCTAAGAAGTGCACGTCAACTAGTTTTCTACCACCATGACTATAGTGTGCAGAAAAATTGTCTTCCTCAGATAAGAACAGGTTAGGAAAAACAACAACAAAAAAACCATCTAATAGAATATAATTTCTAGATTTACGCTTAGAGTCCTTATTGGCACTGCAAAGCAAAACTGCTTCTGGACTATAACCTCCCCATACTTAAATTTTAAGGAGTTTGGTGTGGTGTAACGTTTGAAGACTAAAACAAGACTCCTCCAAGCATTACATGTTGGGAACATCAAGTACAGAAATCCTTCAGCGTACTGAAGAATGTGTCACTGTGAAAAAAAACCTCAAACAGCTTTTCCTCTGCATAAGAACAGCAAAACTTATTTGTAAACTCATTTCCTGGATCAGCTATTTTGATCCACTTGGTAAAAAGAAATAGTTTCACGGATTCTGAATTCAAAACAGAAACAAGAGAAAGCACAGTAAAAAGAAGATTAAAAAGGAAAATGGCTAACAAAAGTAAAAGAAAAAATATTAGAGCAAATCAAATGGCAAAAAGAACAAAGTTAATTTTCATGTGACTACAGGTAATGAGTGACAGCATCAGTTTCTGGAGTATTCCTCAAAACAGTGTATCTGTATTAAATGCATACTGCTCCAGATGACAGAAACCCATCTAGTTAACTAGAAAAGCTCTCTCTCCCGTTTACAGTCCACTGTAATCTGGACCCTGATTTTTGTCCAAGCAGAAGAGTATGAATATTACAGTATCTGCCAATTTGACAACTATAAAAATCATGATATAAAACAAGATCAAAACAGATGTCTACATCTCTAGAATTTGTTTCCATCTGGATGTACATTTGGATGATACTGCTATACAAAAACAAGCAAGAACTTAAATCAGTTACTTGATTTCAACAATTCATGGGTAACTATACACAGATTAGATTTCAGTTTCCTAAATATAGGTTCTTAATGTTATTTTAGAGCCCCTAGGGTACTTACTACACCATGGAAATTTTTGGGAGTCTAAAATGGCATCAAATGCCTATATAGTTCAGGAAACTGGATCCCACTCTTCATGCAACTGTCACTTTCTATATGGACTCATGACCACAGAGAATGTCCTTCATGTCTTACAGAGAACCAGGAAAGCTAGAACAAACTCTGTTAGGGCAAACCTGCACTGTGATCACCCTATGTTTTTAATGTCCATTTTGTTTCATATATCATACAACATATGTATGGAGAACAGGAGGCTGAGGGGAGACCTTATGTCTCTCTACAACCACCTGAAAGGAGGTTGTAGTGAGGTGGGGGTCAGTCTCTTCTCCCACGTAACAAGTTACAGGATGAGAGAAAATGGCCTCAAGTTGTGCCAGGGGAGGTTTAGATTGGACATTAGGAAAAATTTCTTCACAGAAAGGGTTATCAAGCATTGGAACAGGCTGCCCGGGGGAGGGGGTGAGCCTTTGTCTTTGAAGGTATTTAAAAGACGTGTAGATGTGGTGCTTCAGGACATGGTTTAGCGGTGGACTTGGAAGTGTTACGTTAATGGTGATCCTAAAGGTCTCTTCCAACAAAAATGATTCTATGATTCTATATCAGAAACATCCCTCTGAGAATACAATCTCATGGAAAAGAGACATAGAAGCCTAAGTTACACAAGGCACCCGTGGCCTCTGAGGAAAGGAATAATAAAGTGCAAAAAGGTACAAAATAAAGGTCAACCCTTGTCAAAATTATCGACATGTAATTAAACCCTTTTTGAACACAAAACTGGGTCTTTCAAATGAACAATTCAACTTCATATTAGCACCACTAGAGAAAATATTTTCAAAATCAGCTGTAATATTGTGAACATGTGTATTTTGTGTGAAAGATTATTAGGAAAAGGTATTAATTTCTCTACTGTGTCATGAGGACTGAAAAAATTAACCAGGCATAACTAAAACATTAATCCAGGAAGGCTAATTTAAAAGCTGTGTCATGAAAACATGAGATACAACTACTTTGGAAGCCAAATGGGATGACTGGGAAATTAATCTGTATGACATTTTAAGAAGTGTTTTCATGGCAACACATGTTATTCTAGAACCAAATTAAATGTAATGAATATATCTGCAAGTCCACTGTGCTGCTTTTATTTCTACTACATGTTTTATTTCCTTTTAACAGACTAATTCTTAGGTTGTATCAAGTACATGTTACTGTTACTATTAACGTATTAACATTCATCAACAAGAACTTTTTTTTTTAATAACATTATTGATTACTGTATTTTGTGTAAGGGACATTAGCTGAAAAATCATTAAATCAGAATAAGGATGCTCCAAATTTAAAAAAGCACACAAAATTGAAGTCTTTGAGACACATTTAGAGGCCTGATTAAATGACGCAAATTTTAAAACACATCAAGATAACAAAAGTTATTGTTTCTGATAAGGAAATTCTTTGGCTAAGGCTGTGTCCCCACTTTTCCAGCTGTATAGTACTCCAAGGAGCTACATTAAAAGTGATCAGTGATGTTGCAAGGTAATGAGGCTTTGTACAAAAGCCGCTAAAACATTGCCACCGGGCTAGGCAGGCTGAGCTGCTGAATGTCCTGTCCCAAGGGAGAACTCAGGTAGACTATCCAAGCACAGCAATGTGCCTTATGGATTCAGAGCCGGATAGATCACTACTACTCTGCAAGAATTTAGTTGGTATAGAAAGACATGATCGATTTCATACCTGGACAGGTAATTTTACCCTAAACTACCATGAGAAATGAAGAAAGTATCTCAAAAGGAACGGTAATCTTCACCTCACAACCACAGAGCAGCCATTTTATTTCTTTGGGAGAGCAAGGTGAAACCTATCATCTTTTAATAAGAGCTCTGTCAGCACTGGTATATATAAGGCAACAAACTAAGCCTGGATATAGCTTTTAACTGGCTTGATAATATTGGTAACGATTAGGGTTTTTTAAACAGTACATTGGAACAAAATACAAATTTTCTCCCGTGGCTTCGGAGTGACAACCAGCTGGTCTGTTAGCAGGGGGGAGCTGTTGAAGCTTTGAGGACAACTTACTGTGCAGAACTCTACAAAGGAGCTAATGGAGTAACTAAGACTACCAAGAGGCTGTATCCTCTCCATGGCATTTAAGTCCCCAGCGACAGTTATTTTATCATTTCCCCTCTGCAGATGCTTGTTTGGCCAAATGTCATATCAACATAAAAAAGATTTTTCTGATAAAGGCTCTACAAGGTCTTCCTCTTATATAGTCTTATTACTCCTTAATATTCACCAAGGATACAAGAAAGATATGCTAAAGCCTCCAAAATATGTAGCTATGGCAGCCCTTGCTTCATAACTGTATCTCACACCAGGTCTCCTCCAAACATCAAGTATGCATGCCATTACATTATGGTGTACTGGTTAGCTGTCATGAAAGGAGTTCTAAATTTCCATTTTGACCATCAATGATTCAATACCATTCAGTTTAAAATGTATGTCCAAAGCTCTTAGAACCCAAACAACGTGTGGGTGTTCATTTCCAAAAACCTGGATGAAGGTAAGGCTTTTAACATGATGGGAGGAAAATATTTCCTATGATACTCCACTAATTGCAGACAGAAGAGATGACTTAATATTTTTGAGTTGCAAAAGGACTCAGCTCCTGTATTTTACTGATTTACAAATGCCTAGAGTAATTTGTTAGCTCTCTCCCTACTCTAATAAGTCAAACAGGCTAGAAGCTTCTGCACAGAAATATCCTTTCTGTTCACTAAGTCTTGCAGCCTTTTGGCTCCTGGTCTTTCCTCCAGACAAAACCAGAGCAGACTATAAACTAACTGTTTGACATTCATTCCTGTAAACCAGGATAATTTCAATTGCATTCCTCTTCAAGGCCATATCCCTTACATTCCTGAGCTTATTCATACATTTGGGGGTGTTTTGATAGGAATATGTTATTAATTGGTGAGTGGCAGGAGAAATCTGATTTTGAAATAAACATTAATTTTCAATGTACCTATTTAAAATGTGGGAAGGTCAGTATGGCAAAAATATGTGTTTAAGTATCAAGAAGTAAGGAAAAGTCAGCTACTAAGATGGCACCATTTGATGTAATATTTAGATGCGAAAGAGACATCCACCTCTTTCCTGCCATACTGCTATAAAATCCAGTGTTATGTACTAAAACAAAATTAGAGTTTATGGACAAACTTCTATATCATTCGTCAAAGGTCTTTAAAAAAACAACAGTCATATTGATGATACTTATAATGGAATATCCCAATTAAACAGATGCAGACTCAAAACATAAATGAAATCAATACTGTAATCCCAATTTGTCCTGGTTAAAGCTGTCAAGATTTCCATTAAATCAGTATTATTTCTAGACACCTCAAATCAATTACAATGAAAGTTCTGAACATGAAGTATTTCATAAGCATCCATTTATGAAAGAGCCAATATTGTGCCTACTGCAGAATCAGTGTTTTCTTCCCCTTGCCTAACTAAAAGGAAGAAAAACAGGGAACTAAAAAAGCAATTTTGGAGGACATACTTGATGGGAAAACAGACTGATTAATGACAAAATCTTCTCTTTCCCCTTCCTTCAAAATCTGTCAACTGGACTGCAACTGATATGTAGTAGCATTAAATGAGATGAACAAAGGCAGACAGAAGCCAAGAAAATGACTGAGTATCAGCCTCCTGGTCATGTTTACAAAACTGTATATAGGTTGCAGAAAGGTAGGTAACATTTTATACGAGTACTTCTACAGTTTTCACTGGCATGTACATAAAAATAACTGCCTGAACCACTAAACAGGATTCTATATAAAATAATTAAACAGGAAGTATTACTGCTTATACTTTTAAGCACAGAGTATTCCACTGATTTATATTCTATTTATACAAAAGAGACGAAAAAAATTTTAGCAGTAATTATTAATATCACAGGTCTTCTTTGACTTCCAGTTACAGAGATATACAGAAAATATCAGTAAGGACAACAAAGTATTATTTGTATTCAATATTTCTATTATTTGTCTTTAGATTGTAGATAATTAGGTTTATTAAGTTATATTGTTACATCTCAGTGAGAAATGTGATAAACCACCCTAAAAAGATTACATATCCACCCACTATATTCTTTTCTTTCCAAATTTAGATATAAAATTTAATTCTTTAGTTCCTTATACACATTCTTTTTGTAGAGATGAATTTTGAATGAATAGGGAATAAGATGGTTGTAGCATATATGTACAACACACTTCAAAGAACAAACAGCTACACTAGAGGTAAAACTGTTTCTTCATGCATTTGTATATACATATACTTCATTCAGTACAAACTTTTGGTAAAGATGGATGGATGGATGGATGGATGGATGGATGGATGGATGGATGGATGGATGGATGGCTGGATGGATGGCCATTTTCTACTTCTGTTAAAGTCCACAACAGGAATGATCCTGAGAAAGGTCACAGCAGTCCTAATAAAAGTAACCCGTTTCTCTCAAACTCTACGATTCTCTAGTAAAAACAGAAAACTTGCACAAATCAGAAGGGCTCCATTACAGATGGACCACGACTGTTCATACAGAATTCACATCCAGAATGCTCCAAGTACTTGATGCTCCAAGTCCTTCTCTGTTATCTCAAGTAGCTCTCTATCTGTTGCTCACAGTCATTCAAAGCAGGCACAACAAGCTGTACTGACCACTGGAAATGGACTCAGAAACACAGAAATAACTGGTTTCCTAACCATGGCAATCTAGGTGCCTCAGAAACAGCTTGTCAAGCAAAAGCGCTGATAGAATTTTATAGTATATAGTCAACATATTCTTCAGATGTTAAATATGCAGTAGTACCTTAACAGCATGACTGACATACATTAGGAAGTTTTACCTTTGCTAAACTGTAACACATTCAAATGCCATCAACAACTGAATTAAATCCTCTCTGAGGAGAAACTGTAGGATCCAGAGCGCAACATAGACAAGAAGTATTCCAGCAGCAGTGTTTCCAGTTAACTGAACGGAACTGGAGGTAAGCATAGCAATTCTAGAAGAACTGATAGTTTGCAGTCCGGAAGCATCCTAGAACAAAGTGTACACTCAGGGGTCCACTTTTTAGAGTACTAAAAAGCCTTTTAACGGCCCCAAACAGACTCACCTCGGCCCTCCATCACACACCCCACCCCCCATCGGTTCAGGAGCCCCATTTCAGTTTAGCGTTCAGTCTCTGCCTGAGCTATTACTCAGAGGAGTGTGGGTCTCCAGCTCAGGCAAGCCCATACCTAGCCATGGTCTCCATTAATCCAGATCCTGACCCATAGACTGACTTTCTGGCTTGACCTCCCTGCCTCGTCCACCGTGGGCCTGCCTGGCAGTCACTGGGCCTGACCCGGATCTGTGGTTTGCCTTCCCATTACAACATTGTAATACAAAACAGTCAAATCTGAAATGTTGCAGAGGCTCTGCATCGTATCCAAATGAGCAAGTATGTTCAGCTACCAAGGAGCAAGCAAATGAGCAAATCAAATCACAAATTTCTCCAAAGATACTGAATAAGAATTTTAAAGAGAATATGGCTACATCCATGTTAAAAACCCTAATTAAGCATTACCATTTTTAAGTATTATGCATAACATATTCTTGTCAGGTTTAATCTTAATGAGCCAAAAGAGATAGTGCTTTGAGATATACAACAGACTGAATTCACCCTTAGTGAAAATATTTGCTTTCTTGGATGGAGATCGAACAGCAGTGAATTTGGATTTGCTAACTTTAAAATTTAACTATTTGGGAGAACTGAAACATCAAAGAGGCTGTTAGTCCTTCAGACAGAAAAAAATTACACTCTGCAGCAGCCCATGGGTTAAGGCCAACAGTTTGGAGTACATCTTAACAATGATCTGCTCCCTCTGCAAGTTATCGCTTCAGTACGGAGTACAACCTCAGGTTGTGGTTTTTTAAAACCTTGAACACAATGGCAGTCGAGATAGCTTACTGACAGTTTCTCTGTAGCTAACAATTATGACTGGGGGCGTCACTTTAACTTAATGAACTATAATGATGAATGTGTTAGGAATAAACCTTAAGCACATTCTCATCTGTAGGATTACCACTGTTGGGAACAAAGACAAAGCCTTATAATGCTACTGCCAAAACACAACACAGACTTCTTTTTTATTTCAGCTGAAGCCTGGTTGAAGACTGGCACAAAAAAAGTAACTTGTTTCTTCACAGGTAATCAATGCTCTAAAATAAATGTGGAATGAATATTCAGACTGTATCCCTCAAAAATCCACACCAAGTGCCTAGGAATGTATAAAAAATTCTTTCCATTTATCTCAGAGAAGAATTGTGTTCCGGCAGGGAGGTTAAGAGCCAGGAATTTCTGAGATTTGATCCCATCTCCAGGCATGTTCTAGGGTAAGCCATTTGATGCTTCTGTCTCTACTTCCGTTTTGGGAAAATGACGATAAATAAGAAATTGAATGTGTCATAAATTTTACATAATTAGTATTGAAAAAATGCCTTCGAAAGTGAAAGGGTCTAAATAAATGCCAATATTAAATGCACCAAAGGTCAGTGCAATCAGAAGAAATAAACCAGCATTTTACTAGTTCAATAGAATATAGATAATTCCCTTTTGGTTAATTCAGTTTTCACTGGCTGATCAGAGGTTATTACTCAATCTCAGTGTTTTAGTACTAACACCAATTCCAACATCATAAGCGAAGTTCCATAACTTAACTTACGTCAATAACTATCTGCAGGTTTTATGTAGGAAAGTACAGACTCTAAAATAAGGAAACAATACAGCTCTTTATAGATATTACTTCGAGTCATCATATGCAAAGTACATACACAAATTATTAGTGAATTACAATGAGACTGTGAAAACAAGAAAGGTTTGTTGCCAATCACATACCCGCCTTTAATATAGTCAAGGAATGAAACTTCTGTTTCAATTAGGAAGGAAAGCAATGTTACCTGAAAGCAAATAAAAGAGAGTCAGACATGAATTGTCATTTCCCAGTTGAACAAGTAGAGACATAAGCACAATGTTTTTGGAGCTCTATCCTTAAGACATAATTTCCTACAGTATTAGGGGAAAAAAGAAGATTAAAAAAAAATGAAACCATTTCAATAGCCAGTTCTTGAAAGGGAAGAGACAAATTTGTAAGTCTACTACAACTGCTTTTGGTTAAAAGCAAAAGGTAAGGGATGGAAGATTGTATTCCAGGACAGGCTACCACATGCATGTCTTCTGATTACTGTGCACTACATCTACAGATCAATATTAGAGGCTAGACAGGCTATGTAATAATGCATCTATTCTATGAGTACTTCGACACTGTTTAAATAAGTCAATTACAATTATTTATGTCATTTGTTATCTCACACTAAAAGTGGTATTGAGTATTGATGCAAGCCAAGAATGCAAAAATCTAGTAAAAAGCTGGTGTTTACTTCCATACAGACAATGACTAGCAATGTTCTGAGTTTTATACAGTGAATTTTAAATTTAACTTCTTTGCGTTCTTTGAAACGAAAAACGTATTCTGAAACATTTCTGCTTAGTATGTAGTTTGTCTGTCGGAATTGAAAATGACCCCTTAAGTAATCATGAATTGAGATGGCTACTGTATGTACACAGTCCATAAAAGCAGCAGTGAGATAGCAGTCAATGAACTATATCCACTTTATTTAAAGTTTTCCAGAAGCCAACTTCCTATTAGTTAGAATGACAGTCTTGGTGCCTGGTTTGAAAATTTAGAAATCTGTAGGATAAGGAATATCTTGGGTGAACGACAGGGAAAAGAAAAACAAAACTGCAGACAAACACAGAGGAAAGTCACAATTTGGAGAAGCATAAGGGAAGCCTGAAGGACTAAGAAGTAAGGGCAAATGGGAGCAAAGAGGACTTGACAAAGAAAAGAAATTATGAAACCAACAGTAGAGAACATTCGTAGATAAAGAAAGAGGAAGAAAATTGCTGACAATTGTTTATTGGAAATTTCCATGTAATTTGAGACAAAGGATAAGACACGGTTGATTTTGGCTGTTCAAACATGAGTAAAGAATGTTCTTTTGCATGCAGAGATACATGTGAAGGTGTTAAAATATTTTAAACCCAAATCAACAGGAAAATTGAACATGTAAACGCTATTTTGCTCTTCTGTACCCTAACCCAGATTTCATACTTACAATTTTGAGTACATTTACTTTTAGTATTGATATAAAATAATCACTTTGTAAGTTTCTGACTCACTAATTTAGCATAATAGAACTTTATTTTAACACACTAAATTGTAGTAAAAGGATTATGTCAGAAAAAAAAAATTATCTAGTGAATAAGATCTTGTATGGCAAATTTTCACGGACAACCTGCTTCTGCCTATTTTTTACAACTTAAAGCAGAGGTATAATATAAGTGGTTTTTTTCCTACTGATGAACAGATTTATACAAGAACATGAGAATGACAAAACATTCCTTCAAGGCTACAGTTCAGAGTGAAAACAGCCCTATTGACTTCAGTGGAACTGCTCACGTGGAAAAAAACACACATGGTGGATGTGTTCTCAAAAAACATATCTTATATCTGATTAGGTTTTCCAGTATACAATTCTTCAACATTTATCTTCATTTTTTTGTAAATGATGTTTTGAACATCATGGATGCCAGAACACAGAAGTTGAGAAAGTGCTGAAGGGTATTATTTGCATTGCTAGCAAATGGTTCATAAAACAGAATATGGAACATGAACAAAAGAACATTAAACTCTCATCCCAAACTACACTAACAGAACTTTCAACATAAATTTACAAAAATCTGCTGGTAATAAAAAACGTTGACTCTAGCATACTAGCTTTTACTGATGCTAACTCAGCAGTTAAACTTAGAAAGAAAATTGCCTTTTGAAAATGCAGATATGTTGCAGATAAAAATTAATAGTGTTTAGTCCAGTAATTTCAAGAATTTGAAATTTTGGTATAACTCATTTTGGAAATCATTGGCAATTTAACAGCACACTTGGACACAGCTTTTATCAGACTCTTCAAATTAAAAAAAAATCTGAAAATAAATGCTGTATAACAGTAAATAGTTTACTGTTGTGGCCTTCACAGAAAATTCTATTCTAATCCTGTTAAATTACAAGTCAACTCCGTTTCAATAGAAAAGCAAAGCATCCAATAACATAAAATATATTTACTTACTGTTCCAGAATTAACATACTTTTTCTTTTTTCCTTTTTTCTTTGGATTTATTACCTAGAAACACAGACACAAATATTGAAGCATAAGATTTATGATTCAACATAGAGATAAGTGTTAAGATACTTTCAATGCAGAAAGTAGCTTATTTTCAGTGGATCCTAAATTTATTCAGCATACTGTTTACTTATGCATCGCAATGCTGGGATAGATGCATATTTGAAAAACAGTGAATTTATCTTCATGGTACCTGCTAGGTAAGCCAGTGCTGTTATTCGCATTTGACAACTAGGGGAGTGGGGCAACAGAGGTGAGAGCATTCATTAAAGGTGAGTGCTCAGTGAAACTGAATTTTCACAGATTCTGCATTTTTCTGCATTCCTGATTCCAGTGTTTCAGTGTACTGTGTCACCACTTCTTCATCTCGCAATGCACCTCTTCACATTCCAGTTAATCTGTTTCCATCTTTTCCTCAATATTATCTGAGAAACATGAGAATTGTTCCTCTCCTAGTTTCTCTATTTGTTGCAATCACAGGATCTGGCTGACAGGAAGAGCAATTGGGGGAACAAATCAGACTGTGCTAGAATAGAAACGAGCCAGTAATTTCATGAAAATGGCACAGACCACAACCTGGCCGGCATACAGGAGTTGGGGGGGCTCAGTGCGCTCACCATACACAAGATTCTTCATGCAACTGGACTACAAAGTACTAAAAAGTTTTCCTGAATGTCTTGAACCCACACCTATAAAATTTCTCACTGTAGCCACCAATAAAAATGGTTTCCCTTCTGAATACCTACCCATTCAAAGGCAAGCCTCAGTCAGTTTTGTTACATACACATTAAAATGCACTCTTGCTTTTTTTCAAAATTGCACATGGAATTGGAAGAAAAACATTATTTTGTTAATTAGGTTGATCAACTATCTCCTATATAACTAGGAAACTCAAATCCTTGTGGCTTACTGCCAAATTTTACTGTAAACTACTCACAGATGTTCTGAGAATGACAAGGAATGAAAACATTCCCAATTGAAATCTTAGTCACTTAACTGCTATAAAATATTCACACAATTTTGCCTGAAAATAGGAAAACTAGTAATACGTCTTCCAAAAATTCTCTCCCCCCAACCAAAATGAAATTACATTTAAAGATCATATTCCTTGCAGAGCACAGAACAGATGTGAAATGTAAGGCAGAAAGAGATAACTATCATTGGAGGTCTTCCCAAACAGGTTAAACGAGAGCGACTCTTTCTTTCTCTCCAGTATTCCACACAGTTATCCAGTAAGTATTGATCAAGGCTTGTACTGCCTTACACATACATAAGCCTTTTAAACATTTAAAAAAACCCAAATAACCGCTGCCCCTGCTATTAACAGTGTCCTGACTGGTGAGCGATGGATTAAATCTGTGTAATGGTGGTTTATACACAATGAAATAATTCTTGTTGACCCAGAATCTTAGCCAGAAAGTGACTCCCACTGGCGATTGCCCAGAAAAGGAAGACAAAAGTAACAGACTGCCTGCCTGCCCTGTGGCCCTTCATTCACAGCTCTCCAGAATCCAGTGGTCAGGCCTGAGTTAACAGCATATTTCTTGCCAGCAGTCATTAAATGCCAAAAAGGAGATTCATCTGAATCTTCTGCTTCAGGTAACTTGACAATTGGCTTCTTAGGAATTGCTAGGAAATGCACCAGAACTTGGAGTGAAATATTACAGGGAACATGGCATCTACTTGGGATCAAAGGTGAATTAAATCACAGCTCGTGTCTCTCCTAAAAATCCAGGTACTACCTTTATTATAATATTTATATGGGGTTTTTTCCTCAAATTTCAGATTACTTTATAAATAAAACATTTTTTGGCCTCTGAAAGTTTTACACCCCTGCAGTAACCTAGGAAGCTACATAAACTCTTACCTATTAAAAACAGGTCAATTGAAAAGAGTATGTTATAGCAATGTTTCTAATTTGAAAATATGGGACACTCAGTGAAACACAAATTTCTCTACCTGCCTTGAATCAGTTTGTAGATGTAAAACAATCACAAAAGAATTTGTCCAGTCTCTTGTTCTGATATTGCACAGACCGACCAAGTAGAAGCAGTACCAAAGTACTGAGGATTGTAATGTGGGGAGGCAAACGAGATGCTCAGGAAATGTACGCTATTGCTGGGAGTAAGATATTGATACTATATTTAAGAAACTGCAAAATGACTTAAGATGTTATGACAGAATATTCCTGGTAGGGTAGGAGTCATGTCAGTGATACAACAGGAGAGGACATTTTCACCGCACACAGTAATCTGTGCTGTGACACTATCCATCGAAAACTGCTGTAAATTACAGCAATTCTTGGGTTTATCTTGGATCTAAATAAGAAAAAAACCCCATGGCTTTTTGTTATCTTTGTCCCGCTTTGCACAGCAGCACCTTTGCTCATCTTTAAAATAAAAGTGCAGCACATAATTGCAGCACCCCCCTTCCCTACCTTGCATTAGTGCTTGCCTAAACCATCATATTTGTGATGGTAAAATACAAAATTTTACAAAATACGGAAGTGTAACGGCAGTAGTCTGAGTCCAATTAAAGGGTAGCTCAAAGAATAACAACAATCTGCACACCATACAGAAACAAAGCAGGCTATAGCCACACAGGCTTGTCTTCTCATTATTAGCAAGAATATCTTTCCATAGGTAAGAAAAAATACATTTCAGTTCTGAGAGATAGCATGCATGCAAACTGCATGATGCTGGAACTCGTGGTACAAATACAGAAGCCGACCTAAATCCTTCAAAAAGCATACCTAAAACACAGGAGAAGGTCTTAAGTATTATTCTGAGGGACATAAGAGGTCTTGAAATTAAACTGTCTACTGGGATAACCGTGACTAATTAGCTGGATTTGTCTTACATCTGAATCACCCCTGGGAGAAGCAGAATTGAAAGAAGTTCCGATCATGGGATTAATATTGAATCAATGAAGATCTTGCAGACAGGTTGGTCAGGACTTTCACAAATCTGGACACATACGTGAGTCTGAATTTGTGAATAGGCTCTCCTACCAGAATGGACAAAGAGGAAATAGAACAACAGTCCTCAAGACAGCTAGTCATGGAACCATCCCAAAAGCAACTACAGCCCGTATGAATCCAGAAGTCACCCGGTGGCATCACATAGAATTGCCTGTATTACCTTCAGTATAATTTGAAGGCAAATTAGCTGCTAATTTGAAAGAGGAGATGCTCATACTAACAAGACTACGTTAAAGGGAGATTTGGTGGAAAAAGCTATTCCTGTTTTTTTTTTTTCGGATGGCACATATGATGATTTTTGATGTTGGAGAGCCTTATATATTACTTTCTCCTGAGGAAGGTGGGGAGGGAGGGATAAGATCAAAATCTTGGCTTCTAGTAACACTGGAGATCAAGGATAGTGTCACTAAAGAAATACCAAGATAAGTATCACACACAATGTCCCAGGCAGAAGCTGGGAAGGAGCTTCAGAATACAAGTAAGAAGAAATACTTTTAGGGACTTCCAAAACAACAGGGGGAAAAAAAAATATTAAGTGCATTATTTTTCCCTCAGTTCTTGTACTTGGTCTGCATTATATAAGACAAGGGTTGAAACTGCTGATGCAGTAAGAGGACCCATTTTATGCTACCATAACTTCTAGAGTGCAGGAGGGCTCTATGTATGATGACATTTTCCAATGTCACTTCCAATGCTTTTAACTAGGATAATTCTGCTGGTACTCAGACCTAGGAATGCACATTTTTTCTGTGGTGAGGTGACAGCAATCTATTGCACGGGGATAAGAGTCAAGGTCTAACCCAAAAGAGCAAGGCTCCAAGAACCAAGGCAAAATGCAGGCAATTTCTAGTAGAATGCACTGTCACCTTTCCTATCTTTCCCTTAGGCACTTCAGTAGATGATGCATTTTCCTGGGTTATGTTCATTACTCAACTGATACAAGCATCTTGTAAGTTCATTAGAGAGCAGACTACAGCCTCCTCGATGTGAAAGACAGGAAAACACAACTAAACTAAAAACTGGACCATACCATGTTTAATATTAATTACAAACTCTGAAAGGGACGAAAGAGCTCATACTTTATAATCAGTTTATTTTCATAAGGGATCTGCCAAAGAGTTATCAGAGTAATCGTAAAAAAAAAATAAAAATGCACACAGATATACTGTCTGGAAATCGTAAAAAAAAAATAAAAATGCACACCCAAAAAGTCTACCTATAACACACAGTTCTTTGGATTCATGACTCTGATCTGAAGCACTGAACATGAACTTCATACTCGGACTCTTCTAAGGTTCCTCTTCCCAGTATATAAACACCTCAGGAAAATAAATACAGCACAGAATGTACCATGCCCAAACTGTAGTTTTCTTGTGTTGTATGAATGCTTGTACCCAGAAATAAAAGACAGCAAAAATGAGAACAGAATTGACTGAGAAAGACACCAAAATAGTGAAGTTAAAAATAAAACAAAGGCGGCTCTTTGCAAATCTCAGTAAGTCGGGCTATGAAAGACCTACAGAGCAAAACCTACAGATTCAGCACTTCACCTTAGAGAAACTGAAAGTATCTGGCACAATCCATATGCTTTTTCTGTGAGCATGTGTGAGACGGAGGGTGCTAAAAAGCTTTAACACAAATGGCTGGACATATGCATACGTATGTGAAAATGCAATAGCATGTATTTCACAAAAGGGAATATACAGATGCCCGGAATACATGCATTATTTCCACGTGAAAATGGCTACTCGAGCCCTTGCAGGGAGTATCTCTTTATGGTAACACTGCTCTAAGTAAGCAAAGCACCTCTTCCCAAACACCACCACCACATCAGTATCACAAGAGAGCTGTGGGGTTTTGTGCAAATGCCTCATGAATATCTATCATCAGAAGGGTGAATTGGATGCTTAGGTGCTGGGTGAAAAAAGAAGGGTAAAAGGAAACACAGGGCAATCAGGCAACTAGACTTAGTTGCCTATTACCCGTGTCTCTCCCTCTTCCTCCCTCCCTCCCTCTTACTCATCTAAGTTATGCAAAATCAAAACTGAAAATTAAATTTTTTGGATCTATAAAAACATAAGCTGGAGTTTAACACTGCAGAATGTAACGTATTTCCTTAGGAAGAGACTGTCCCTTCTTCTCAGTGACAAAATACATTTTACATCTTCTCCTCCTGTTACTTCTCCTTATTTAACACATTTTGAAATTTTATAATACATTTTGCATTCCAGACTGAGATTTTTCTGGGATATTAATTTAAAAATTAAGTTTTAATGCAGGAGTCGTAATGCTTAGACGTCTTTTTTTTTCCCCAGTCATTTTTTTATGCCCAAATCTGGGATAATTTTTAAAAGGACCTTTCAAAAAACAAAAAAAATGCCCAAAATGAGTCCCTTTATGACACTTCAAGGTTATGCATCTCAATTTATGTTTACACAAACTCATTGATTGCTTCTAAGAATAAATTACAGCATATTTTGAAGATTTAGTAAAGTTTGATCTTGGAAAAAAAAAGTTTACTTTTTTGCAAATCCAAATAATCTTGGACTAAATTAAGAAAGAAGTCTTGAACTAGGGATTTATTAGATCTGAAATAAACACACCTGAACAATTTTGGCCACAGGGCCCTGAGGAGAAAAGAGAAGATAAAGAAGACTAAGAGGGAATGTGGACGTAGCCTGCATTCACCTACAATACACAACAAGCTCTTACCACAGTTAGAAGTCATCTAACAATATAAAACTCTATAACTGAATTGAAAACTGCCTGTCAATCCCAGTAACTCAAAGATGTATGAATTCTAAACCAGAAATGAGATGCAAATTTTTAAGCAAAGATGGTAACTGACCACATGAAAAACCCTACCGATAAGTAAGCTAAATCCTCTGTCACTTGTACGCCCTGCATCAAAAGCATCAAAACTCTTAAGATTCTAAAGTCTGCACTTAAAATCAAAAGCATGTGACTGCATCAGATGTAGGAATCACCAGATACTCTTTGGATAGAAGAAAATAGCATACAACACGTGTAACAGTTTGCAAAAGGAGAATGAAATGACAAATTGGTTGTACACAAACGGGAGTAAGCCAGTATTTGCTTCAAGTTATGTCACACCAAGCCGCTGCTTGAAGTGCTCTTCTTGCCCCGTCACAGATGTATAAACATGCACACATACGTACTTGTCTTTAAATCTTTTTATGAAACAAGGCTTTTAGATTCTCTGTTCTTCTTTGTAAAAGGAGAAATGCAAAATAATTCCAAAATGTGATTTTGATAAGTGTTGTGCAGATTTGACCAGTTTGCCTTGAAAACATTGGAACCGTTCCCATTTATTTCCAGAAAGTGAGTAAATACTTACAATACTTACCTCATACACATTGAATTGAGATTGCCCTCTTGACAACTCTCTGTAACTTGTTGTGAATTCTCCGATGAAATCATGGCTGTTAAAAAAAAAATTCAAATCAAACGTACAGCACTTAGTAATTTAAACATGTATTACATCTATTTATGAAAGAGAGAAGCACAACCGATATCAACTGACACCCAAGAAAGAAGCAATGGCAAAAAATATAATTTGCTTAAAAATCTTTATGCGTCCCTCCGTTGTGTGTTCACTCAATTAGTAATAAAAATTTAGAGATGAGAAGTATTAGCTTAAATCTTTCTGATGGCTTACGCTTAACTTCACTGCACAATGAGGACTAGGTTGTAAATTAGTGATCTTGCCCCAATGTAAGCTTACAGAATCTGAAAAAAATGGAATGGACTATCAAAGACTATCACCATTTTCCCACTGGATGACCACTGGCACCACAGACTCTGAACTGTGCGTGAGACTATGTGAGAGAAAGGGAGGTATTATGAGAGTGAAAGGGGTAACTTAAACCAGAAAAGACAAGCACGATGAATTTGTGTAACTGAATGGCATTTTTAAGGGGAAGACCCAAAGCTTATTTCAGCTGCTATGTCTTCCCATCTGGGAGGAGAAAAGCAATCCACAGAGGCTACTCAGCTTAAGGTATTAGACACCATTGGAAAGTAGATCTTAACCTAACGCTAAAGCAGTGATTATCAAGCTTCTCCTTTCTAATTTCTATTCCTGCTCCAAGACTACATTCAACACTCCTGTGCTGTCACCCACATTTTGAAAACCAGGGAGGGTTTGTCAAATCTAACCCAGGGGATGGCACGCTGCCAAGGAGCCACAGTGAGCAAGGTGGCCAGAGGGAGCATTGTGGCTGAAGCATCACTGAAAAGGCAGCTGGGGTCGGGGAGTTGGGGCACAGAAACCACAGGGCTTCCCAAAGTGACTGAACTGCAGGTTCGTTTCTCAGACAGGTACCTGGAATGGAAGTGACCGCAGGGCTGAGTGCCTAACAGCTGGCTACACAACTCCCAGCAGTCACAAGACCTGTCCCCATTCTCCACTCTTCCCAGTGGAACTTTCCTCACTGCTGCTCCAACTCCCACTCCCCCCATCTCCTGTTTTCACAGTTGCTCCCTAACCAGGTGGTTTATCTGCTCCGCACTCTGCCTCCACATCTGGTGAGCTATGAAACTAACTTTTTTACCTTCCCTTCAATGGTAAACTAGAATAGAAATTCAAAGTTTTATGACTTAATGTCCTGGTTTGCGATGTAACAGAACCAATTTCTTTTTCCCAAACCACGACACTTTGTCACCTGTAAATTCTGTTTTTAAGAAATATAGCACACTTCTAATTAAGCTATAAATATTAAAAGCAAATTCAAATAAATCTGAATGCTGCAAGAAGAGAAAAAAAGGAAACAATCCATAGCAACACAAAATGTCTTTCTTCATTTATTCATAATGAAATGGAAAAAAAAAGCCAAATATAAATCTCACTTTCTAAAACCAGCATGAATTCACAAAATATGTAAAACAAACAACTAAAATGTCCAGTCATCATGCTAATGCACATGAAATAAGCAAAGTATCCAGTAATAAAGCTTGAGAAATACTATATGGTGAAGATATTACTGATTACTCAGATTCAGAAGGGACCACCTCTCATGAAACACTCTCCAGTTTGGAGATCAGGAAATTGTTCAGAGACAGACTAAGACTTTTCTTAAGAAACATATTTAGGAGGTATCATCTCCTTTGATCAAATGGTCTCCAGATTGCAACGACTATTTAACCAGGGAAAAAGAAGAAGCCAGCCATACAGGCTATGGAACTTGAGCTCTATACGGGCTGTAGCACATAAGGTGTATTTAACCTTGGGTAACCATGGCCCTGGAGAAAAATGAACCTTGGTTAAAGAGGAACCTTTTCCTTTCATAATAGTTCTTACCTTAAATTTTCAAGTTGGCTTGTATATTTCAAAGGCAGAAATTCAAACAATAGCTCAATAACTACCTACAAACATGCTGTAGCAAACAGAGGAAATGTAAGTAATTCCAGACAGGGCTGTCTCTGGGGGGAAAAAAAGAATATCTGTGCTGCTAAAACGTAATTGTTTGTTTAATTTTAAGACACACTGGAAAAGCTCCTTTCCTTGTGGCGATATACACAGACTGCCAAGAATTGAGCTAGAAAGATATAATTCCTCTGACTAATCACGTTAAAAAGGTATGGGCATATATAACCACTCTCAGTTCTCTGCAGTTAAAAGATCATCAACCTGGATCTTAACACTCAGTATTCAAACCAATGTATGCCCCTCCACTAGGCTGGCTCTGAAAGATGAGTGCTTGTTGGACATTTGCCTTTGCAGAAAGTATAACTTGTTAAGAAAAGCAAGGCACTGATCCCTCCCAACAGTCATGATCACACTTCACCAAATGGATCTCCTTATTAACTCTCTGGATTAAGAATCCAAAGAAGTTATTCTCCTTGCCTTCCTAACACCAAATATTCCTAGACTTAAAGACTTTTGTTCAAGAGTGGCATATCAGAACACTAAATCAGAGACTCAGCACATAAAATAATCACTTGAACCCCATCTCCCTAATCTTCCACTTTTGGCATTATGCTTTGAAGTACTGAATATCACTCAGAATAGTACTAACTTTGATTTTTTTAATGATCTAAAGGAAAAAAATAACAGAGGAAATGATGAGCATCACCAGAAATATGCGAATGAGTAAGAGGAAAAGCGCAATACTTTAAAAATCAACTGTCTGGCTGGAGAAGGAGGATGAAAATGGAGAACTAGAAATAAGGTGAGAAAGCCTAGAATTTGAGATTCACAATCTTTCCTACAGTGTTTAGATTCTCAGATGAATGTTTCAGTGGCCCCTGGTTAGCATGATAATATTTACAGTTTTTAATTTCACGCAAAAAGCACTTATCTGCGTAACAGATCATAAACGTCAAGACTGTGAAATGGCTTTTGCACCGTGTAGGCTAAGTATCAATTTCTCTGAAATTAGTGAAAAAGCCTCCAGAGAGAAATAAAAACATCAGAGTATTGCTGATGTGAAGTTGCACTTCATCTTATTTTTTCCTTCTGTAAGACCTGTCTGCAAGCACTTCATTGATAAGGACACTCAACAAAAACGTCGTTCTGTTTCATGCGAGTGGGCTTGTCCAAAGTAACAAACCAAATTTTCGTGACTTCTTATAGCATCAAATATTTTGGGGTTTTTCACCGCTCTTAGAAGCCATAAAAGGTATCAATTAGAACAAGTGGTTCACATTTCGATAATTTTTGTGCAAAAACTGGTTGGAAACAAAGAAACGTTTAATAACTAATAGTGTTAATGTTACAAAGGTCCTGTATTACCATTTAGTCGAGAAATTTTAAGTGATGTTTTAAAATAAATGAGATCTAAGAATAGACAATTACTCTTAACAATGTAATTTATGAACACGACAGTTAGAAGCTCAACCCAAAGCACCCTGGCACCGTCTTCCCAAAGCACAGATAACACAGAATGGGGAAAAAAACCCCTCTAAGTCAAGACTCGGGAAGTCAAAGTCAAGACAAGATTCAGAAATCTTGCGCAGTAATGTTGCCTTACTGACTGCAGAATAACCCGCAATATTCAGTATAACTTGCTTTGCTATCCAGCAGGCTCTCTGATTATCTTTCAAAGGTTGCTCCTGCCCAGCCAGCACATCTTTGGAGCAGACAGATTGAGCCTAGTGAGGTTATCGGCCATTGTAACAATTGCTTATAAATAAAGAGTTCATCAAAAATGCAAATGAATATAAACGGAGTAACAGCAGCATTGTACAAAAAAATGATAGACTAATTCTTGAATGGGATTCACTTCAGATACATTTGGCAATGTCAAAATTAAATTAGGCACTTAGGTTCTTGCTACAATCACTAGTAAGTCATAGGCACCACCAAATGGCAATTTATACCAGTTAGGATGGATTCAATCATACCATTTTCCCCTATGGGCTACTGAAGTAACTTAAATGATTAATTCAATCTAGTTGTCTGATTTTTACATTGTCTGAAGTTACAGGAGATGAGCGCTGTCTCATCTTTCTGAGGAATTGAACATGTAAGATGTCAGTATTCTGCCTGCTTCTAAATTCAAAAGTAGTAGAAAGCAAAAGGCAAAAAAAATCATACAATTAGAATAAAAAAGAATACATGTAAATAGTATCCTTCACTTTTTTTTTTAAGATATTAATTTTATAGGTATTCAGAGCGGGATATGAGCAAAAGCAGATAATATTTCAAACTGGGACAGTGTAGAGGCTAATGACTGCCTGAATTCCACAGTATGTTAAAGATTTCACTCAGAGTTGCAGCTACACAATATTACTTGTCAGATACTACTTACAATATTACTTTCTCCTTCTTCTTTTTAATCATACCTCAATTTCAGTTTTTGGAGGAAATAGGACAGCACATGGGGTTTGATACCTTAATAAAATATAATCTTTATTTTTCATTAACTTGGCAATAATTTTTCATTGTTAGATTATTTTCAAAATATACTGTGGTTTATGCACAAAGTGTAAACATATCTCATTTTTAAGGATTTGGCAAATCTAAGTGAGAAACAGAGGATGTTAAAAGAAATTAATTGTTACAGTGATGCAGAGATTTTTGCTAATACGGCTCTGTTAATTTAAATCCTTGTATTTTTAATTGCCAGAATATGTTATTTTTTTCACTCCAGGGAATATCTAATCAAGAAGGATCAGTTTGCACTAGCAGGTATTTATAGAGGGTAAACATGTGATAAGAATGCTTATAAATCAACAGGCTTCATGATAAAACCAAAAAGACAAAAGTATAAGCTAAGAAAGCTGAAACTGGTTTTGGACCTTGTCAGCAAGGAAATGAATGGCAGCACAGGATAAATTATGATTACAAGATCTACTGGGCCACAGAAGCACAATATCATTAGCTATTATACTAAAAGTAAATTGCATTAGCAATATTAAAGACATTACTGTATAATAAATAACATACTCTTTAAAAATCCAAATGTAAGTGCATATCCATATATTTAAAAATATAAATTAAGATTAATAGGAAATAATTAAGACAGACCAACTTAAAGATAAATAGTTAACATATTCTTATATTACATACAAGTTCTAGTACCATGATTTATGACTACTGTTTCTAAACAAAGTATTAAGATACAAGCTCAAACAGTTTTAAAAGAACAAGAGGCTACCAATCCAGTCTGATGAAAAATAATTCTACCTTGTTTGTCAAAATAAAGGCTAATTTCTTCAGGAAAAAAGTACACTCAGTACAGACAGCAAGCTTGAATAATAACACATTGCCCCTCTTGAATTTAGCAACAGAAATTCCATGCATATTCCACCATCCTGCTTCTAGCAATGGAGTTATTTAAAACCCAGGTCTCCCAATTCTAGAGTTTACAATAATGTTCTGATGAAGACAGGCATGGAAATGAACATTCAAACCCAATCTGAAATTACGCTAATCAACAGGTAGTTTCTACATTGCAATATCTAGGCAACGATGAAGTAGCAATTGCAGGTTCAGACACTTTATCATACTTGAAATGCAACAGTTTATGAAGCAGAGTTTTAAGCAAAAGATTATAAAATGAATTATCCCTCTCTTCATACGTGTACCTTAACTGATACCATAATCAGATTCACAAAACTGATCTTACAGATCACAAAGGATTCGATCTTGCTTGTTCCATGTATGTATATATGCACATCAGGTTTGAAATGAGCTAATACTTCAGCATTTACCACAACTGCAAAACAAAACAGAACTGTAGCACAGCAAAACTTTTTTGCCAATACCTGTACCTCTAAATATTAATAAAAACCATTCTCTAGTCCTGTTCTGGCCACTATACATTTATACATTTTAAACATGTATAAATACACATGGATAACCCTAAAAGTTTAACAATAGACTTAATGTCTTACCTTCCATCTCTGTCCCAATCATACACTTCTACTTTAATTGTCCTAAAAAAAAATAAACACAACTCTATTAAAATATATATTACAATGTACCAGGATTGTCTCTAATACTTGTATTTTAATAGCATATGGGTGCAGCAATTGTGCCAAATCCTCCAGGAGGTAGAATTTTCCAGTAATTTCTCCTGGGGCAGAAAATAGCAAATCACTCAGGTTACCCAATACATCTTCAGAAATTAATAGTAAAATACAGCAGAAGCTAAGGAAATAATTAAACACATTGCAAGTTTAACCAATATATTTTAATTTGCTGATGCTCTGAATTTTCTGTTTGGGTTGTTTGTTTGTTTGTTTTTTTAAATAAACGATTCTTTAAACCTTAAAGTATTATCAAAATTTTTAAGAACATTAACAAACTGGAACTTATTGTGAAGGTTTCTTTGGTATATGCTATTATCTGGAAAAGGTATGTCTACTGTGAGGTAATAACGCCTTACAGAAAAAAAGGAATATATCCATATTTGAGAAGTGTGCAGAGAATAAGAGCGCAAAATTATTAAACAGCAAAGTAGATTAAAAGCAATGTTCTCAATACAAAGTAGAGTACATTTAAAGCAGTACAGAATTCTAGTCCATAAATTTGGTTCTTAAATAAAAGGAACTACTTCAGAATACAATAAAACCTCAATCTGGTGGACAGTATTAACCTCTTCTAAACATTGTGCAGTGGTGATGAATGAGAGCTGTGTGAGATCCACCCAAGATGTTGTGAAGACCCTGTCTGTGGCTGCAGATGAAAGAAATTTGTAGTTCTTTAAAGACTGCACTTCGCCCCTCTTAAACTCCCCCTTACCTCTCAATAGAGGAGGAGGCTGCTTGGCTATCTGACCAAAGACAACAGAAATGTGCAGAATCATTTTTTTAAATTCCTATAAAGCCAAAAGGATAGTTGTTTAGTTCTTTCATCAGAGGACACTAGGTAACTATCAGATTATACAGTACAACTATGACTCTGGCTTCCTAGAATGAAATGGGACAAGCAGTTTGTAGGGTATGGGGGTGGTGGTGGGGGGTTGGGGCGAGAGACAGAGGCAGACTCTGGGTACCAGTTTTTCCCAAAGTGACACATTGCCCTGGACGCTGTGTGAATACTCACCCCCCTCTTAGTCAATCAGGAGCAGCTGACAGGTAAGCTGGGTAATAAAACGGTAAAGTCGGCCAACACACAAGTACTCGGTGCGAACATTTTTTCAAAAGGGGAATTAATTAGAATTTGTTTCATTTAAATCAGAATTGAAAGGCAAACTAGTAGATCATTATACACCCAAAATAATACATGGATCTAAAATATTTTTTCACAGTGTAAAACAATAACTAATAGGCAAAGTTTCAGAAACATGCCTCATGACAAATTTTAAGCATATAATGTTTTCACATAGGGTCTTGAGCATCCCTCTGATGAATCCGTACCTGGCTATTGCACGAATCAGGATACTGAGACAGGATATAGAAACAGTTAAACTAAAAGTATGATCCAATAAGCAAGCTCACATACCTCCTATGCGTTGACTTCACATTTATGAGATTATACACCTGCTACAAAGAAAGGCTGAGAGGGCTGGGGTTGTTCAGCCTGGAGAAGACAAGGCTACGGGGAGACCTTATTGTGGTCTTCCAGTTAAAGGTGGCTTATAAGAAAGACAAACTTTTTTGTAGGGCCTGTAGTGACAGGACAAGGGAAAAAAGCCTTTGACACCGTTTCCCACAGCATTCTCCTGGAGAAACTGGCTGCTCATGGCTTGGATGGGTGCACTCTTTGCTGGGTAAAAAACTGGCTAGATAGCTGGGCCCAAAGAGTCGGGGTGAACGGAGCTAAATCCAGTTGGCAGCCTGTCACAAGTGGTGTTCCCCAGGGCTCAGTACTGCGGCCGGTTGTCTTTAATAGCTTTATCAACGACCTGGATGAGGGGATCACATGCATCCTCAGTAAGTGTGCAGATGACAACAAGTTGGGCGGGAGTGTTGATCTGCTTGAGAGTAGGAAGGCTCTACAGAGGGATCTGGACAGCTTGGATCGATGGGTGAAGGCCTATGGTATGAGGTTCAACAAGGCCAAGTGCCAGGTCCTGCACTTGGGTCACAACAACCCCATGCAGTGCTACAGGCTTGAGGAAGAGTGGCTGCAAAGCTGCCCAGCAGAAAAGAACCTGGGGGTGTTGGTTGACAGCTGGCTGAACATGAGCCAGCAGTGTGCCCAGGTGGCCAAGAAGGACAACAGTATCCTGGCCTGTATCAGAAACAGCGTGGCCAGTAGGACTAGGGAAGTGATGGTCCTGCTGTACTTGCAAGTGGTGAGGCACCACCTCGAGTACTGTGTTCAGTTCTGGGCCTCTCACTACAAGAATGACATTGAGGTGCTGGAGCGTGTCCAGAGAAAGGCAAAGAAGCTGGTGAGGGGTCTGGAGCACATGTTTTATGACGAGTGGCTGAGGGAACTGGGGTTGTTTAGCCTGGAGAAAAGGAGGATGAGAGGACACGTTATCGCTCTCTACAGCTACCTGAAAGGAGGTTGTAGCCAGGTGGAGGTCCATCTCTCCTCCTAGGTAACAAATGATAGGACAAGAGGAAAGAGCCTCAAGTTGCACCAGGGGAGGTTTAGATTGGATATTAGGAAAAATTTCTTCACCGAAAGGGTTGTCAAGCATTGGAACAGTCTGCCCAGGGAAGCAGTCAAGTCACCATCCCTGGAGGCATTTAAAAGATGGGTAGACATGGCACTTAAGGACATGGTGTTGTGGTGGACATGGCAGTACTAGGTAAACAGTTGCACTTAACAATCTTAAAGGTTTTCAAACCTAAATGATTTTATGAGTGTATGAAACAGTTTTAAACTGAACGACTTTAGACTGGATATAAGGAAGAAATTTTTTTACAACGAGGGTCATGAGACACTGGAACAGGTTGCCCAGAGAATCTGTGGATGCCCTATTCCTGGAAGTGTTCAAGGTCAGGTTGGAACAGGGCTCTCAGCAACCTGGTCTAGTTGAAGATGTCTCTGCCCATGGCAGGGGGGTTGTGCTAGATGATCTTTAAAGGTCCCTTCTAACCCAAACCTTTCTATGACTCTACACACATGTAAGAGGTGCAAATGGAAAATGAATATAGAGATGAACTGTTTCCTTACGAGTAAAGCAAACCTCTGAGGACAGCTCTAACTGACGGGGAAACAGAAAAAATATAGAAAACAAATACTGAAGTCTTGAAGACTAGATTTCTTAAAATGCAAATACTATAGAGCACATTATCATCATTAATGAAACAGGAAACATATTTGAGGATGGAGATAGTATACCGTTTT